AGGGCAAGCTTCAGCTAATTGTTATGCACTAACTCTAATCTGACCCAAGGCTGATCTCTATCCTGTCACTCGTGTTCAGTGATTCAGCGTTAGAGAGGTGTTTGGTAGATTGCGAGAAGTTAGGCATCACTTATAGCAAAAGCAAGGAGCTTATAAGAGTTAGGAGTATATAACCTTAGCTGAAGCTGGGGTCTAAGGCCACAGCATAGGCTAGCTTAAATACATGTTAGACTCATACTAAGAATAGTACCTACAAGGGCACATGCAATGAGAAGTGCACTTTCCAACAAATGAGGAGTGAGGACACTAAAAGAAGTGTACTCCTGACAAATGAGAGTAAAGAGCGCATATCACCTGCATCCGTGCAGGACTCCATCTGAATGGGCTTCATCCCATAGACCACCCTCAACTAGCGGTCAATTCCAGTCCAACTACTAAGAAGCATGATGCTATCAAGAGAAGCATGATGGTACATGCAGGTCGTCGGTCATCCAGGGTGCAGCAGCTGTGAACTGGGGTGACGGCAACTGGGTAAACAGGTAAGGAGTGTGCTGGCAGAATATCATGGGTCCGAGAGATAAGATAGGTAGGTCCAGAGTTCTGAGGGATAAGGATAAGATAAGATGAGGAAAATAGGGGTAAAGTCGTAATAAGAAGGTAATTTATTGATTGATTTGAGACATACAACTCGGACAATGGTTTTCACCAAGATGATTGGGTCATGTTGAAGTGCAGCTCTGAAAGTGTTCACTTCCTCTGATGTAGGCTCAAAATCTGCAGCATTTAATGCTGCAAATTCAAGATCTATGATAGCACCAAGGACTGCTTTGCATGCTAAATTTATGATATGTGCAAAGCATCTATATAATGGAATTATAGGATTACACGGAGAGATTTTAATCATCTGAACATACTGGATATGTCACTTGATGGCATCAAATGGAATGTGTCAGTGCCTCAGCTCCAACTTGAGAAAATGCATAAATGTGTTATTATTTGAAGCATTGTCAAGGCTGATCCAACCAATCTAAAAAAAGATATTGGTTTAGCAGATCCTCAACATCCAAACAGCATATAGGGCACCTTAACTGCAATCCATAACCAATCCAAAATATAAAGAAAAGCATGTGCAAGATGTTCACCATCATGATGGCTAGGGACACAGTGGAATCCTATTAAATCAGCTCGAAGAGAAAGAGAATACCTCATCTAGCCTGTTTCTGGAACAGGCATCTTCTTTGTTTCAATCCAGTGTGCTGTAATGGCCATGAATGGGATGAGATTTGAATTTGTCCATAGATCACACATAAATGAGATCTTGCCGAGCGCACCCTGGTAATCTTGAGAATAATAGAAGACAAAGTTTAAACTACAGCACATACCAACATATCTTTTGAGAGCTGCTGGAGATGCTCCTGCCATGTCTCTATGATACACTCTTGTAGTTGAGTTCAGTGAGGTATATCATCATCAGTCAGTTCCTCTCAAAGCATCAGAAAAATGCGATGCAGTTCAGGAGATTCAATAATGTTGATTTACTATAAATAATTATGAGAATGAACATGCAAAAATATCATATAACCCACCTGATCGGTCACAGCAATGAAGGCAACCAATGCATTGACAAATGCTTCCAGTGAAAATAGTTCAGTGTTGAGATTTGTGAGCATAGATTTCTGGAGTCCAGGCTGTCTCTTCAATGTGTGATATTCATTGACAGCATCCAAAGCAGCAGGGGCAATTATTTCAACACCCATCTAATCACATGCTTCAACCCATAGGGCAACATGTTCTTGGTACAGATGATGGCACCAGTTGCCAGTTGATGTATCACAAGCATATGAGGTTGACCATGTTCCGTGGTTTTCTGATCTAAGTGAGTGTCTAAGATAGGTAAATTATAAGAGATATACAGGTGACGTACTTGCAAAGAATACAATACATGTGATCCTCATACTCTTTGAAGAAAGGGTAGATATCAGTTGTCTGCTTGGTTTTCTTCTTCTGTTGCCACTGTTGTCTTGCCTGACAGCATCCACAGTGACTCTATGGAGTCTGGTTAATGTCATGTGACCTCTGCATTGGCATTTGCAAAGATGAAGACAGTGAAGTATCAAAATTGAACACCTCTTTGCCAGCAGAAAACTGAACAGTATGATGAGACTGAGGGTTTAATGGGGTTCACTCAATAAAGAGGTTGTCAGTGTCAGAATGGAAAGGATTTGGGGCACATTGATGTCCACAATGACAACTAGATGGTGGTGATGACTCAACAGTGTGTTGTTCAGCAGAGAGTAGTCGAGTTGGAGTTCCTGGCTGATAATCTATTATTTTATAAGCTCACCATACTTGGATGAAGATTCAGATATGACATATCAGGTACATGAAAAGTGAACTCCAATGCCCCACCAGGATGCACTGTATGATCATCTGTTGTATCCAGTTGAGCAATGTCAGTGGATACTCCACCCTCACAACCATGACCATGATCACAACCATGACCACTGCATGCCATCCAGAGAAATCAAAGATGCTTAGAATCAGAGTGTTATGTCTCAGTTTGAATGGGGTAGGGGAATTAATACTCTGCCAAAGAAAATAGCTCTCATTTTATATTGAAAAAATACTACGACATTTGGTTCTGGTGTGTGTAATGCTGAAAACAGGAAGACATCATGTCTTTGTGAAGCTCAATGATACATGTCTTCAGAAATGATGGTTGGGAAGGATTGGGGGGACTAAAATATGCAAATTAAGTCAATGAGGGTGCAAAGTAGATAGGTCATGCACTATCACTGAGAAATTCATGCCCATTTTACTTGCCATCATCCTCAAGGCCTTGGAGTTGGTAAAACAAGCAGCTGTGGTGGCAGTCAAGCCAAAGAAAAGAGTCACACATGTAGAGGATAGGCTGAAAACACATATATTGTGAAGCTATAGAGTAATGAAAGAAATTCCAGGTTATACAGATGACAGATGAGAGCACAATGATGAAGAAAAAGAGATGATGGATCCACTCTCCTAATTTAGGATTCAGCCATAGTGAAGCTGAGCATAAGTCACATGTGCCAGCTTAAACTTGGCTTTAAGCTCTTTTTAGCCATGAGCCAAATTTACAGCTCAGCTAGACTTATTGCAGCTCGGCTCAGCCTCTGTGCCATATTTAGCCATGCCATGGCAACACTACACACAGAGAGTGTTTAGGCCCAGTGAAAAGTCACTCAAAGCAGAAATATTTACATCTACTGATATCAATGAGGCACATTGAGATATAAGCAGATCCATGCACATATATGAACTTGTATCTTATGCTATTCTTAATTGATAACTATTGTCTTTGGTAACAAAAATTGAAAACTTTGTTTTCAAGCTTTTCTGATTTCCTCTTGTTCAATCAATTTTGGCATGAAATTCTGTACTGCTGCTTTGTCAGCATAATTCCTCTCATTCCACAAGTCTATCAAACTTCAAAGTACGACCACAACTACAGCTACATCCAAGAGGGTACTGGGATTGCGGACTGGTATACACCAGTGGTAGGTAGGTTGGGCCTGAAGGGCCATTAAAATTTTTTTGTAGCACATAGTTCTGCCTTATATATGGGTACATTTTGACATTTTTGTACAAAGTAGATCTACTTTTTGTATTATCTGACCCTATTCAAGACTATTAAATATTTGTTATGACTCTACAAATACTTATATATGCACTTTTGACTTCTCTCAAGCTGCACATGCTATCCAATTAATCTTTATGTGCTTTCATTATTATACAATACTTCTCCAACACACGTTAGTACCAGAGGCACCATTGATTATAAGAAGGTGGGATTTCAACTATATGCTCAGCATGGCTCATAGTATGTGGCATTGGGCTTGCTGGATAAGGTCATCAGGCACACTATGCTATATATGATAATTATAATGTCATATGATAGGTAGGTTAGGGGTCAAAGGCCATTAAAAGTTTTTTCAATGTTGTGTACTAAATCCCAAAATCAGTACCCCCTTGGCTACATCACTATCACACCTTTGACTCTCTCCAAGTATGTCTAAATCCACTGGAACTCAAGATCCAGATTCTGTTCCTTCTCATATATCAAGACCCTTCCCAGCTTACAGCCAACATTTTTTAGTACTTGTTTGTTAAAGGTACTACTTTGCTGACTGAAAAGTTGCAGTGTATACTTGCATTCTTGAGGAATTCATCATACAGAGATGCACTGAAACACTCACACAACAACACAAAGCCTTTATTGCTGCTATGCATTATTTGCTGTGAACTCCTCTAAAGTTTTGGTTTTTGCTGTTGCCATGGAAGTTTAGGCTCATCACCATTGCTTGTTAACAACATATAAAGACAGTCATTATACAGCACTCAATGGTTGTGTAGGTTGTCTAAAAATAACTCTTATCAGATCACACTGTACATGTGTTTACTGTGCACTCAGCATTATGCCATGATATGCTAGCACTGTGATCTCTTCAACTGTTACAGATTTTCCTTTTTTCCTTATTCTTTCCTTACCCGGTACCTTATTGACTCATATACGCTTAGTACTGTGATACATGGATGTCACATGTGTGCTTCTATTCGGACAATAATGCCAGCTCATTGTATGATACACGGACTCATTTGTACCACTTTTAGAACCACACTCCTGTATTTAAGACAGCCAAGCTGTGGCCTTAAGCCCCAGCTTTGGCTAAGGTCTATATACCTAGTTATCGACTCTATTGCTCTCGCCTAGGCTGTCTAAGTGAACCGCTAAAGGACTACTTGAGCCTGCTTGTTGTACGCTTGACCGAAGTGCGAGTCACATCACAAGTTTGACCTTGTTTGTCATACTAGTGGCTTACATTTAGCCAAAGCTTCTCTCAAGGATCTTCATTGTCAACCACAACAGTGAACATCACCCATGAGCAGTACAGGATCTAACATATTTAACATCTTTGCCAGTTTCCTAACCGCTATCATCGTACTCGTATTCTGCTTCCTATATGGATACCTCCGATACAAACGATGACACCGTGCCAGAGTCCCGCAGACCCCTGCTCCCAGGAGAGTATACTACGGGCTCAACGGACAGCCTAGACGAACCCCCTTCCACTATCGAAATGCCAGTACCTTCAGATTCAGATACAGTACTTCGACGTCAAGGAACAAGGACGTCCACGCCAACCTCCCAGTCCAGCGAGACGAAGAAGATGTGGAAGGAGAGGTTTGGGTTGGCAGAATCGAAGAGCAAGAAGATGCAGAGTGAAGAGAGCAGCGAGTCCTCGCAGACGGGATTCTTCGGGTGTCTGCAGACCCCTCAGATGAAGAATATGGGATCCAGGAAACAAGGATCGACCCCAGCACCGGAGGAGTCATCATTGGGCCAGGAACTCATCCCCATTCCACCCGCCTCTACCTCAGTACCGAGCACGGGGAAGAAGTTGTTATGGCCTACCACGGATTCTCCCCTCGTGCCCCTGACCCAGACAAAATCCCCCAGCCAGAAGAGTTCTACTCCCAGCAGCAGCATGACTGGGTGATCATGGACGCATGGCACCAAGCCAACCAGCTCCCCCCACTCGAGGATGGGGAGATACCAGAGTTTGACCTCCAGTATCCAGACTCACCCACTATCCCCAGATACCCAGACCTCAGTATCGCCACCGGGAGAAGCAACGCCGCGACCAAGGGAGGAAGCCCAGCACCTGACCCTGGAGACATTTCCGATGTCGACCCCCGAGACACCTCTGGCCCCGACTCCTACGATTCATGGGTCACAGATGACACAGAGCACAACCCATATCAGGTCAGGGATGAGCTCGCCAGCCACTACCCCAGCCCATATGGAGAGTGCCGCAGAGAGTTATGCCGCCGTCTTCAAGCCATCGCTGAAGACTGAAGGAGAGACTGGGAGACCCCCGAGCCCCTTGTTCCATACGTCCGGTGGACCCTCGGAGAATATGGAGCTGAGCCAGAATTGGCCCAGTTCTTCTTTGACAACCCGATCCATTCAGAGTGGGGCGTACTATACCAAAGGTTCCAAGACTTCACTCGTGGAATTCGAAACAGAAACTGGGCCCTTGCCAGAAGGGGAGGTGCCCACGTACCAGAAAGATAGGAACATCCCATACTACCGAGGGCCGAAGACCAGCCCCTCTATTTCTGGCCTCGGGATACTCAGACCAGAATCTGGAATCGCTGGTACCCATGGGAGCGCGCGGCTCTCACCGACTACCGGTACTGGCTCCAAGCCCCAGACACTGAGGAGTCCACTCCCTACCCACGATCCACCCCAGCGCCCCGAAATGATGAAGCCGATAATGGAGATGGGATGGTTGGAGCTTCTAGCATGGCAGGGAAGGTCTCTGGCCAATGAAGGGTCGTGGTTAGTTTCAGAAGCCGCCGAATTTATGTACCGAACCAAACTACTGAATGAAGTACGCAGTGCCATCTACAAAGATGAAGTTCAGCATCACGCAGCAAAACTGTGGAACCAGTTACATAATGACCATGCCACCATAATACGTCTGTTCTCGATGTGGAGCTACCTGCCGTATCACTGGGCCACAACTCCAGCAGAACCCTCTCTACCTCTAGGAAGCAGGCTCCTAGGAGGAATGCCCACGGAAGAAGAAGGAGCCCCGCAGGAACCAGCCCCAGAAGCCCCTCCAAAAAGAACCCGACCCAGCTGACCTGCGCCTACTCCACCTTCGCCTCCGACTCCACCATACAACCCCCACCACGACTATGACTTACGATCATTGCCAGAAGTAGTAGACTTGGAACTACCACCCGAGCCAGCGGGACCACCACTGGACAGTCCGGAACCTTGGGAACTGGAAACCGGTGAGATCCCATGGGGGTTGGTCTGACCCAAAATGATGAGGACCCCAGCACCATTCTCAGGAGCATCTAACGACATGAAAAGGTTCCTAGAAGCGTGTGAAGATTACTTTACCATCTTCCCCCACAAATTCCCCATGAGTAACAGAGGGCACGCCCCGACTAGAATTGTATTCGCCACCTCCCTCATGGATGGGAAGGCCCTAGAATGGTGGATTCAGAAGAAAGGACGTCTCCGCGACCCCATCCGTCGACATACCCAATACCCCACTTGGCCCAGCTTCGAGGCGGAGGTACGGGAAAGGTTCCGAGAAGCAGTGGAGATCAAACAAAAGAGAATCAAATGGAAGGCCCTATGACAGGTGAACTACAAGAACGCGGTAGAATTCTTTGCCAACTTCGAAGAACTCGCCATTGAGGCCGAGAAGATCGGGAACAAAGAGGAGATGATGGACACGGTAAAAAGGGCTATCTGGGCAAAGATGAAAGACATCATCATGCACGGGGATAACGAACGACCCCGAACGTACGAAGAATGAAAGTGGAGGGTGAAACGGATTGACGAAAACTATCACGTACACCGAGCCGAGGAAGGCAGAAAGGCCTTCACTCCAAAGACCACGGCCCCCAAAGCCAGCAACGTGGGTACCACGGACCACCGAAAAGACGCCACCGGCACTACCTATGGAGGGCAGGGGCTACCCATGGAGATAGACTGCCTGAAAAATGACAGGCTATGTTTCCGATGCGGGGGCCCAGGCCACATGGCAAGGGACAACAAGTGCAACCCTGACCCTTCTAAATGGAAGATCAAGCCGAAACCCAACCCTAACGTTGGGCAATACAAACTATCCAAATCCATGATCCGCACCATGCTGAACGACCCCAACCGACCAGAAGACTTGGCTGACACCACGCGAGTAGAGGAAGTAAAAGACAAGCCGACAGGGAAGTAAGCGATTCAGTCACGTCAGCCGGACCTCCAGTTTCAGTAAAACATGTACATCACTCTACGCATTCAAACATACCCTCGTTGCCATTAGAGACTACAGAAACTAAGCAAGAATTGCATGGTGAGGATGGCGTAGAAGGGGATTGCCACTGTCCAATGGACAATGAACCCCAAGGACTTTTGAGTCCGACAGACAGGCTGGGGCCGTACCGGCACAAGGTGGCTCCTGACATCTATGGAACCAGGCGTCCAGGTGAGGCGAGGGATGAGGCCGACAGCAGTACTCGAGGCCCAGCGGACCCAGTGCTGAACTGTTTTAAAGCAGAAGGGAGACCCCCAGCCTTGCTGAAATTCGGTGTACAGGGGATTACCACTGCCACAAATGGCAGCAAACCCCAATCCCAAGCCAGCAGGAAACCCGGTAAGCCAATTGATGAACAGACTGAAGTAGTGTGGAACGCAGATGCGGCAGCGAAACAGCATTCACAATGCGCGGCTGCCTCAAAACAGGTTGACCCTCACGAAATCAAGAAGAACAGCGACCAAATGCTGCCCCAGGGTCCTTTTCAACCTGGCAACCAATTGCCGCCACAAGCACTGCCCCCCCGACCCATAACAATTGAGGAAGTCCCTGACGAGGAAGATGACTACAGCTACCTACACTCCAAGGAGGCATGCGCCGAGGCGATGGCCCGAGCCCAGATCATGGAAGGCCCTCGGCACACTGGGACTAAATGCCCGCAGGCCTATCACCCCCACCAGGACCGACCGGAGTGGATTTGCAGAGGACTACGAAATGCGAGGACACTGGAAGAGCAGAAGGATATACTGAGGAGTTGGGTACACCCGTCGAAGAGGAGAGAGGTGGTCACGGAGACCATCTGGAGGCTAAGGGAGGAGGAGGGTGAGAACACAACCCGGACCTCCCTGGGGTTAGACGAGCTCGAAGAACTCCGAGCTCCTCCCCAGTACATCTGAGGAGGTAAAGGATGGCACGTAACCATCCAGTTACGACTAGAAACATTGGAAACCCGAGACTCCCATCTTGTGTCAGCCTTGGTAGACAGCGGCTGCACCGGGAGTGCCATAGATCGAACCTGGGCCAAGGACCACGGCATTCCGCTGCGACCAACAGCACGTCCCACCCCAGTGTACAATGTGGACAGCACCCGCAACAAGGGTGGGGACATCACGGAATACGTGGAGGTTCGGTTGATAATTGGAGATCACGAAGAACGCATCGAGCTCGCAGTAGTGGACCTAGGAACTACTCCACTATTTCTCGGGTACAACTGGTTGCAGCGGCATAATCCCATCATCAACTGGGCAACCAGGGCCATCACGTTGGCCAGATGCAATTGCCGACCGGTACCATTCCGCCTCCCCGATGAAGACTCCCTATGATGGACGGAGTACGAAGAGGGCGACCGAATCTTAATGGTCAATGTAGAGCAGGAGGTGCATTTACATGCCACCAGGACCCGCTCTAATGACCTGGCCACCCAAGCCAACCAAGGAAAGCCCGATCGTACCTTTGAAGAAATAGTGCCGGCTGAGTACCACGAATACCACGATGTCTTCGCAAAAGAAAATTTTGACAACCTACCCCCTCATAAACCCTGGGACCATGCCATCGAGCTAATCCCCAATGCAAAAGCTAGCCTCGACTGCAAGGCATACTCGCTCAACCCCCAGGAGCAAAAGGAACTGGACGCATTCCTTGCCGAAAACCTGGACAGCGGAAGGATACGTCCCTCCAAATCCCCTATGGCCTCCCCTTTCTTCTTCGTCAAGAAGAAGGATGGAAAGCTAAGGCCCGTCCAGGACTACCAAAAACTCAATGAACTCACCATCAAGAACTGGTACCTGTTACCCCTCATTGGCAAGCTAAATCAGCTTCAGGGGGCCAGGTATTTCACCAAATTGGACGTGCGATGGGGATACAACAACATGAGGATTCAGGAAGGAGATGAATGGAAGGCAGCATTCCGCACCAATCGGGGACTGTTCGAACCCCTGGTCATGTTCTTCAGGCTGACCAACTCTCCGGCAATGTTTCAGTGGATGATGAATGACATATTCAAGGATCTCATCGCCGAAGGAAAGGTCACTGTGTACCTCGACGATATCCTCATTTTCACTAAAACATTGGCCGAGCACCGATCAGTAACCAAACAAGTACTACAGCTACTGCGCAAGCACGGACTATTCCTGAAAGCCGCGAAGTGCGAGTTTGAGGCCCGAGAGGTGGAATACCTAGGGGTTATCATCAGTGAAGGCAGCGTAAAGATGGACCTGATCAAAATTGCGGGGATAATGGAATGGCTGGAGCCTGCCAAGAAACAGGAGCTACAGTTGTTCCTAGGATTCACCAATTTTTACCGATGTTTCATCGAGCACTATAGTGACAAGGTACGACTGCTGATGTGGCTCACAGGTAAGGTGCCATGGGAGTGAGGGAAAGTGCAACGGGAAGCCTTCACTGAAATCAAGGAGTGCTTCCGAGAAGGGGTGGTATTAGGGATGGCCGACGTCACCAAACTGTTCCGACTCGAAGCAGACTCCAGCGATGGGGCCATCGGAGCGGTATTGTCCCAGGAGGACCCTGGGGGCCGATGGAGACCGCTGGCATTCCTTTCAAAGGTGCTCTCAGTCACAGAGCGCAATTACGAGATATACGACAAAGAACTGCTGGCCATTATGTTAGCTCTATCGGAATGGAGACACTACCTACTTGGAGCCCAATTGGACTTTGAAATCTGGAGCAACCACCAGAACTTGCAGTACTTTCGGAAGCCTCAGAAACTTAATCGCCGACAAGCCCAATGGGTCACAGAACTCGCTGAGTACCACTTCAGTCTTCATCACAAACTGGGAGCGTCCAACAAAAAGGCCGATCTCCTTAATCAAAGGGCAGATCATGAACAGGGAAAGGAGGATAACCAAAATGTCACGGTCCTCACCACAGAGCATTTTAGAGTGCTAGAGATGCCATCGGAGGAGGAAATCCAGAGCCAGATACGTAGGGCGACAGTAGACCCCCGGAACTGGGACCAAGGCATCGCCACATCCCTCAACCACGACGAAGGAGTAACCAAAGAGGATGGACTACTAATCCATGACAATCGCATTTACGTCCCCTGAGACGCGATGCTACGAGGGGAAGTAATGGCACGACACCACGATCATACGTTGGCTGGACACCCGGGAATAGAAAAGACCAAGGAGTTGATACTAAGGGACTACTGGTGGCCGAAAATGTGAAAAGACGTAGAAGCATACATGCAGGGGTGCAAGACCTGTCAGCACACCAAAACCTCCACCCGAGCCAGCAATGCGCTGCTCTACCCCAATGAGGTCCCAAGCCAGCCATGGGACATCATCACCGTTGACCTAATAACCGACCTGCCCGAATCTAATGGCCACAACACAATCCTAAACATTGTCGATCGCTGCTCCAAGACGCTCATACCAATCCCCTGCTCCAAGGAGCTATCGGCCAAGGGCTGGGCAAAAATTCTGTGCGATGAAGTCATCTGCAAATATGGGCAGATCCCCACAAAGATCATATCTGACCGAGGACCACAGTTTGTCGCTAACTTCACCAAGGAATTATATCGACTATTGGGCATCCGGGGAAACCCGTCAACCGTGTACCATCCCCAAACGGATGGGCAGACCGAACGCGCCAATCAGGAAGTGGAGAAGTACCTACGAATCTTCATCACCTACCGACAAAACGATTGGAGTGAATGGCTATCCCTCGCCGCCTTCGCCCACAATAACCGACAGCATTCTGCCACAGGGCTATCCCCCTTCAAAGTCATGTTCGGAAGAAACGGTGACCTATTTCCCAACCCGAGAACTAATTGAAGCGACGTACCTGCCGCCCAGGAGTTTGCAGATCACATGGCTAAGATCCATAAGGACACAGAATCTGCACTATGAGAGGCAGCCGACACCATGAAACGGAGCTACGATAAACGTTGCCAGGCTAGTCTAGAATACCAGGTAGGCCAGAAGGTCTGGCTAGATGCGAGGAACCTACACCTACCCCAACCCAAGAAGAAACTCGATGACAAGCAAGTCAGACCATTCATAATCACCGCAAAAAGGGGCGCTAGCACCTACAAGCTCGAATTACCACTTCGTTGGCGGATTCACAATCGGTTCAATGAATCCCTCCTCTCGACCTTCCATGAGCCTAAATTCCCCAACCAACAACGACCGCCACCACCGCCACCAGAACTCATCGATGCGGAAGAGGAATACGAGATCGAGGAACTCCTCAACCACCACAACCGCTGGACTGGCAGGGGGCATCGTCGAAAGGAAGTCACCAACTTTCTGGTCAAATGGAAGGGGTATGGGCCAGAAGAAAACTTGTGGGTCACTAGGGCACACCTCGCCAATGCCAAGGAACTTGTACTGGACTATGAAACACAGATGGGGGAGACCCTAAACACGCTTCAGGAAGAATCAGCGGAGGACTCAGAGGATGACTCAGACATGGAAACGGACGCTGACACTACTAGCGATGACGAGGGGGATGATGACTCAGTCAGGACGACTGAGTCTTAAGGAGGGGGTAATGTTATGGATTTTTCTTTTTTCCTTATTCTTTCCTTACCCAGTACCTTATTGACTCATATATGCTTAGTACTGCAATACATGGACATCACATGTGTGCTTCTATTCAGACAATAATGCCAGCTCATTGTACGATACACAGACTCATTTGTACCACTTTTAGAACCACACTCCTGTATTTAAGACAGCCAAGCTGTGGCCTTAAGCCCCAGCTTTGGCTAAGGTCTATATACCTAGTTATCGACTCTATTGCTCTCGCCTAGGCTGTCTAAGTGAACCGCTAAAGGACTACTTGAGCCTGCTCATTGTACGCTTGACCGAAGTGCGAGTCACATCACGAGTTTGACCTTGTTTGTCGTACTAGTGGCTTACATCAACACTACAGCCTGCTCCTATTTCACTCGCTCATATAAAGCTCTAATTCTTATGGCAGGCATAAATACTTGCTCTTCCCTACTTCTGCTGCCTCTGCTCTACTCCTGTTTCATCCCTTTACTACTCACTCATATTTTGAAATACATTGTCCATAGGTGGCCAGTGCACCTGTCAAATATGACAGGTAATGCATTTTCCCACTATCTTATGGCCATATTAATGACTGGCACAGCTGTCTATATACCTGCACTGTATCATCAACCTAGTTCTAAGAGTCTTAATAGTATAGTATATGGATCAGCTGTTGTCTGTCACTGTATCATGGCTATACAGCTATATATTATATATGGTACAGTGCAAAGCCCTATCCTACAGTACAAATACAGATTGATGAGTTCCTCTATGGACCATATTTCATGGTAACATTTAGCTGTATATGGCCTTTTACAGACATCAGCACAGCAGTGCTTGTTACTCTCTTGCAGTGTGCCTATATGGTGCCTTGTATAATGGGCTCACACATGTGAATGCTCTGTGACCTTGTCCATACAAACAGATTAAGCACACACTATTTTTCTAAGTCATTATAAGCATAATCATGCAGGAAAAACCTTCAGAAGTACATCAAAGTTCATCAAAACTGTGCATACTGTTTATTTAAGGTTGCACTGTAAGCACATGGCAAGTAATCCTGCATCTGTTATATTAATTAATGATTAACCCTGCATTATATGTACATGCAACACATGCAACTGTATGTACAACTGTCATGGCTGTAGATTTGACCATTGATACTGCTGCAAGGCCTGGCAAGAGAATTACAGTATGGGAACAGACCCAACCATATCCATAATAGTATGGTGAGCATCCCTAGTTACACACTCAGGGTAAAGTTATATTTGTTCTCTTCTTAGTTGCCACTTGACTACTACACAGAACAGGGACCATCAACCTAACACTCTAGTCATCTTGTCTTGGTGTTTCATGAGCCATAAATTTGTCTTCCATCTCCAAAGCTAGTATCCAAAGTTCCTACTTCCTAGTGTTGGGTCTCTAATCTTAACTCTACTGGTGGCATCAATGCATACTGTCAAAGAATGTTATACTCTTCAAATACTCTCTTACAATGGTGTGTTGGGCTCTGATTCTTCTAAAAGGATGATTCATATAAGAGGAGGATTTCATAGCTTTAGTTTGTAATTGCTTTGGATGGAGAACTCTCTGATCCATGTTAACAATCAATGTTGGTTCTAATATTAGATGTTGTAGGTATACATATCTGATATGATTGATTTATATTGGCTAACCTACTCACTCAGAGTCATTACTATAACAGTGTTCATCATAAGTGGCTAGGCTCTTTATTACAAGTTGACTTCTCATCTTTGCCACTTTTTCTAGCATCATTAGATCTCAGATAATATGATAATGTGACTGAGGCCATCTGAATCTCTCTCCCTAGCTCAGTAGCTTTGATCTGTTTCAGGGATATGGGGACTGTATGTGCTATATAATATAGAGTATAGTATGTGCTATGCTTCTAAGTACATCCTCTATTCAGAATACCTTTCTTTTGCCTAATCTCAGCTGATGGCTACTCAAACTAACACTAGCATTCCAGTATCACTTACTGACAGTGATATAGTTTTCCTGATAAATTACTTTGATGCTGAATTGAATTCAACCATACTGCATTCTTTATTGCTTGGTGAGCTTGCTCAATAAAGTTAGAATCTCAGTGTCTAATCCTGAACACATATAGGTGTATACACAGGTATTCTTGCTGTTACAATGTGGAACATCTGTGAGTGTGTGTGATATATACATTCTAATATTAAGACTGAAATGAATAACTGAGTCATTAGCAAGTCTCAGCATATTAGACGAGCTATGGCTGTGGTCATTATCATTCTCTATATTGTGACTTTCATTGTTTTTGGCATGGATTGGTCCCTTACATCCTCTGGATTTATTTCCTATGGAGAAAACATCTGGACTAGATATCTGAAGTTTACCAGCAATGATATTCTGGCAACAATAGGAATGAGTACTACAGGCATGATTGGTACTATTCTTGCTGACTCTATCATGGTGTGTATGATGATGATAAAAATCCTGATTACAGCTTACTATTCAAATTTCAGATTTGGCGTTGCTGGATGATTTGGGGAAAGCACTGGCTAGTCATTGTACTTCCCACTCTTTGTCTAGTCTCTGGCATTGGTAAAGTCATCCATTTCTTCTGTTGCTTCCTTTGATCCACATTCAATCTAGTGTTCAAAATTATGGCTACACACCTAATCTTTACAAATTTCATTAAGGCTGCCAGTGCTTCTGGTCTGATACTTTATGCATCATTCACTCTGGCTACAACATTGTGGTGTACTGTGCTTATCATCTACCGTATTCTGAGTGTAGGACAAGCAAACAATGGAATCAGAGGTGCATTTGGAGCTTACCGGCATGTCATTGAAGTTCTGGTGGAATCTTCTGCTCTCTATTCTGTATGCTTGATCCTCTATGTGGCTCTCACTGCTAGCAATAGCTGGGGACAAGACTATGTTGATGTCATAGCAGGTGTTGCAAGAGTATAGGTATACTTATTCTTTTTTTATACATGAATAACACTTTATTTTAGGGCATCACACCAACGCTCCTTATTGGACGTGTTGCTGCAGGTCATGCTCGTCCTGATGACTCTTGGAATGGAAGTATCATGTCTTCACTCCACTTTGGGCAAGGTCAGAGTCAGACAAACACCCAAGAGGATTCTATGATCAGTATCAACCTTGATGATGATCCTGAAGCTCAGATGGAGGAAATAGATGAGCCTGAGCATGCTCAGGCAAGTTCCCAGATGGTGTACAATGATGATATAGAGGCTCAGTTGGAGGAAATTGAAATTACTTAGTCAGGTCACTCTCTTCTTTCAAGTACTCCTGTAGCAGTGATCACCTAGGCAAAGTCCTAATCTACTTTCATTCACATGTCTCCTGCACTCTCTTGGTTTTTATCCCCAATGTAACCTACATTTTATATCCACTATTCATTCCTTGCTAGCCAAGACCTCTTCTCCATGTCATTCCCATTTCTTATCTATCACAGTAGAAGTCCCTTTAGTAGATCTACATTGCTTGTTCTTTCTTTCTCTGTAACCAGTTAATGTTGGAAGCAAGTTTGAAGAATATCACAGAAACTTGTCCTTAGAATGCAATAAGTTAACACTGGATAACCACGGATAGCCGCATTGCATGCATCAAAAGGATAACTTTTAAGACATCACATTCGAGGAGACTCTAAATAAAAGTACAATATTACGACACCGATTGCGTCCAGGCAATAATCGTACACATCATGTTTAGCTTCAGACCAACACTCAAATGTCAATGCTTCTTCCTCCGGGCTGAGCGATTCTCCCGCCGGCTCCAAAGCCCTTGTGCTCTGGCTGAACATCCCTCGTGGGCCGATTAGCTTCGGCCTTGTGGTGCGCAAACTCCCTCATCTTCTTCTCGTTCTCAAGATAGCCATGCTGCTTCTTGTCCTTCTTCGGCGGCAGCTCCTCCTGGTGGTGCGGATCATGTCTTTCTTCGTCCGTAGCGGGAGGTCCTGTTGGCCTTGGATAGTCAAGGACGGTGTCGTCGACGGCCCTGGCCGGTGTTGGTTCAGTCGTCCTTTAAGCGGATTGAATGAGAGGCAATGAGGAGAAGACTGCGAGTACTGACGATGTATCGACGTGTGGCTTATGCCGTGCGGAGAGCGACAGACGACGACCTCCGACTTTCACTGCACAAGCAAAGAAGTGATGTCATCGTACACTGGGACCCACAATAAATAATGAACATCGCTTGCCTGCGGGCGGGTGCGGTATCGGAACCTCTGGCATGGTTGTTGAAACGGCTGGAGATGGGAGGGAAGGCGTCTGTTATATAGCCAACGGTTCACGTGTCGAGATCAAGCCTGGAACTGAATAGATCATGGGTCGCGATTATGAAACTGCAAGCATCATTGGCGAATCCAGGCCATCAGCACAGTGGTGCGACAGCTGGAATGGTAGAGGAATAGGTTGGTTGATCTTCAGAAACCCATTGTACACGACTCACGAGGACGATGCAAACAATTACTAGGGCCGAATACCTAGCTCCGGTCTGTAGACGAAAAAAAAAGCAAGAAAGGTTTCCATGATTTTTGCGCACAGAAGTGTCTTGTATCGAATCAAAGAAATTGCTGGCCGAAGGGGTTGAGACGATGGTGTGTATGGATAGTCATCGACTTCAAATTCCCACGAACCCTCTTCAAATTCCTGCAATGGACGCCTTTCCTGGCGATCAAAAGGCTTGATCATCAACTGCCACCATCTCCGTTACATACTCTCTGCTTTTTCGTATTTCTCTACGGACTGCTCAAGGCTGGACGTTCCAGGTCCCATATGCCAACGGACGAGCCTTGTACAGGTGAGTTACCTACGACTCAGCCGAGCAAGATCCAAATACAAAACGGTGTTTTAGAGCAACCTCCCATGTAACTGCGTCCGTTCGTACGATGTCCTCGTCGGCTCCAAATATACCGGAATCTGTCTGCACGCCATGGATGGCTCTCATAAAACCCACCACCTTTCGTGATCTAGATCACAGGCGCGATTATATCTCTCGGTTTTTCTTGACTCTAATGTCCAACAGACTCCACGAGGAAATCATCGCATACTCTACCTACGCTGGGACGACCTTTGAAGAAGTTCATATACGCGAAAAAGTCTTCCGTTTCATTGAAAATGCTGTTAGGGGCACTATTCCTGGGAGTCGCGTCGGGGTATTTGGGAGCGTCGTGACTGGGTTGACTCTTCCCGTTCCGTATGTCTTCGTGTTCCTCCTTTTTCTCTTGAGTTCATTGTCATACCAGGGACTTGGACTTGGCCATCGTAGCAGAACGTATGACGACGAAGCGTGACATCAAGAGGCAGCTGTTCAGACTGCGGGACCAATTCCAGCGCGGACGGCTCATTGATGATGCCCAGGTGCGGGTTCACGCCAAGGTACCGATTGTGAGGTTTACGACGCGTCCTGAGTTCGGTGCGTCTTCTTTCTTCTCTCGCAGTTATTTCCTCTCAACAACTGATAGGTTCGATAAGCGTGGACATTGGTGTGAACAACATAGATGGCATACACGTCGCGGAGATGATCAAAGAATATCTGGCAAAGATGCCTCAATTGAGGCCCTTGGTGCTTGTCACGAAAGGCCTGCTTTCCCGGTCGGGCTTCAACGATCCCGCTCATGGGGGTTTGGGGAGTTATGCAGTTGTTTGTATGTGTATCAGCTTCTTGCAGGTGAGAGTCCTTCAGTTAGGCCTGTACCATATTCTGAAAATGATAGATTAACCCGCCATCGGAGTCGCTGGGGAAACTCCTCGCTGACATGCTTTACTATTACGGCGTTTCATTCTCCTACGAGACATCTTATATCTCTGTGAGAGAAGGACAGGTCCTGCCCAAGTCGAGTGCGGCGTGGTGCGGAACTGGCGATAAGCTCGTTATCCAGTGTTTGAAGAATCCAGGTTAGACGATAGTTATGTTTTTTTTTTCGTGTCAATGCCTGACGGTGTTCTTCAGAGAAGAACATAGCCTCGTCAGTAGATCGCACAGCGCGGTTGCGTGAAATCTTCAAAGAGGCGTATACGAAGCTTTTGAAGGCGACAGTTCAGGATCCCGTAGTTCTCGGCACGATTGTAGGTTATCCGCGGAGTGTAAGTCTGTTTGTCTTTCGTACTGCAACTTGTTCTCACGTTCCGGTTGTGATCGTAGGTACTTGACCATCGTGCGGCTATCAAGTCTTTGGTCAATGTACGGTCATCTGCCATTGGGAGATCAGGACGCAACCGCCGTGACAGCCGGGACGATTCAAATTACCGAGGAGGACCCAGTCGTCGTCGCGATAGCCATGACGAAAGATATAATAACCGGGACTTCCAGCCTCGCAGTAATGGAGGGCGGACGTATGGCAGTCAGAGGAATAGGAAAGCTGAGAGACCACGCGACCCTGCGAGCCAGATGTCCAAAGACTGAAGCAGTGAACGATCTCTTCTTCTTGTGTACATATGGACCACAGAGTGGGTCTTCTTGGACGGGACGAATTGCTGTATATACGTTACCCTAATACATGGCACATATACTACAAACCATTATCCGACGGAAGAATGTGAAGCTACACAGGAATAGGATGCATCCCATTGTGGTTTTAAGGGTGGAGGAATGACACATTGAAGTCTTGAAGTTTACCAGGAGGTGTGATCACGACTCGGTGATAAAATTTAGTTCAGAAAAGAAGCCAAGTCGTGGCGAGCTCGCCAGTGACTCGCAACGATTTCTCACGGTATTACTTCTCCAGTCTAGACCTTTCCATCGCTGCTTCGAAGTCGTGAGTCCCTTCAACAGATATCATGACCAACAGTAATGGAGGGTTTCAGCGAAACGTGCCCTCAGTAGTACCCGCGCAAATACGAGGAGAGTAATGAGGCGCAACCTCTTCATGGAGAAGATCGGGTGTTCATTTCGCTCACCTCAGTCGTTGATACCGACGACTCTACTTGAACGTATCTTCAATCTAGTGCATTATGATCAGCTCTCCGCCAAGCGACGAAAGCTCACCTGAACATATGCCGGCGCTTGTAACCCTCGTATTCTGGAACGCTCTGGACGGTGCACGTCAAGGTCAACTGAGCCCTGGTAGACGGAGCATCTGAGTACGTCGTCGGTTCTGCATTTGATGCGGAACTTGGATAACAATAGACAGACTAGGATAAGAAAAGAAAAGTCCTTCCTTGCATTCTAATCACTGCACTAATTCAATAAACAAGCACGGCGGTGTTCATAACGAAGTATAAAAATAACGTAGTCAGCTCAACCCCGACGTATACAATAGATAACGCCATTGATGCAGATACTGCAGCCTTGGAAATATGATCGTGCGTATACGCTAGCGATGCATGCCTACCCGATGTAATGTCTAGTATAAAGTTGGCTGCGTTTCATCGTCCATAGGAACGATGCCAATACAGCAATTTGCCCTGTCAGCATAGGTCTCATCTCTCGTGAGATCCTTGTTCAGTCCAAGGTCAAGCATTTCCTCGTCTTGAACAAGTACGAGGATAAACGGGGATGGAGGTGTTGATCATAATTGACTAAGCCATTCCACAGTTGACCTTGTTGATCATGCTGCCTTGGCCCCAACAAAACAAGCGTATGGGCCCAGTCACGCCATGGAAGGGACACGAGAATATATAATGAAGCCTCGCGCATGATACCTAAAACAGGCGACGATGGTAAACAATTCGTAGAGGTTCGTGACGCTAAGGAACATACCGGAACAGGACCCTGTCGAAAGTCGGCCAATACATACCAACGACGACTTGTTCTTAGGCAAAGGTAAATAACAGTTTTAAAAACAACTCTCATTCGTCGACCTGCCATGCGTGTAAAGAAAGTATTTTCAAAGTAAAGCTATCTGTATCAATTACTTTGGCCGCGAGCTGAAAGGTTCATGAGCATGCCTCCAAAGAGGAACGAATGGACCGCAGCCTCACCAGTATAATGATTACCAGTAAGGCCGCTGTTGTTTATGACGATTTCGGGTACAACTCATCCTTGGTCATAATGCCTTGCAGCTCGGTGATGAGTCGCGCTGCAGAACTGAAAAAAAGGACCAACACACCAAGTTCCTCCCTGAGAGGCTTCAGTTCATCCAAATACGCCTGGTATTGCGCCTTGTTCTCAACCTTCTCACTAACACCCTCGAAGATCCTGACAGCAGTCGAGTAGTCGTTCACCCTCCTGGCAGCCCTGACAGCAGCCTCGATGACCGCAGGGCTGGGGACGAGATCGTGGGCGAAACAGTTGTTGAGACCGCGCTGGAGCTCGAAGAGGTCCTCAGCGTTCTGGAAGAAGGTCACGTAGCGTTCCGAGAATGCCTCGAAGGACTCTTGGTGGGCATGGGCGTAACGGACGGGGGTGGTACGAGGAACGGCCGCGACCTTGAGGGCCGGGCGCGATGCAAGACGGAGGACGAGAAGGATTTGAGAGCGCATTTTACGGCACTGCAGTCGACGAGAAAGTAAGGTGATAAGAGAAGGGAAGGCGGTTGGCGCTGTGTTGATCGTTGTTTGTCACAGGGCAAGATCGGGAAAAACCGGCCGGTCTGGGTCCATTCTCGACCGCCATCATCTCTCCGGTTCCGCCTCTGCCTCTGAACTCAATCATCCCTTCACTGCCATCCTCTTTGTGGCTTGAATTCGATCTTCATCATGCATCATGAGGAACCGAAAACGACTATGTTGATCCAAGAATTAATCAAAACAGCTTCGCTTTTCGATTCCGAGTCTTGATAAAGGTGAGCAGAGCCTAAATGATGATATATCATGTATGTTATCGCATCTTACGTTCAATTTCTAGTACCGTTGTTCTATGAGCTCGAAGAATAGCCGGCAATTGCTGGATAGACGACTTGCTTACTGATGCCTAACTACGACAAGCCTCTGTTCTCGCTGCACCGGCTACTCCCAAAATTCCCGCTCAGCATTGCGCAGTCTGGCGTGTTTATCTATTCTGGTATCGGAAAACTTAAAGTTGATGTCACTTCTTTGTTCATGGCATAGCTTTAACATTAACGTTGCTGATCTACAGGAACCTGTACGAGTTCGTTTCATCTCCAAGAGCATCGCCATCTACGTCATCCGGCGTTTACTCGAGCGTATAATTAATAATTCCGTGCATAGCCGTTCTAGGCTCGGAGCACAGAAGCACCCGTTGCCTGTTCCGCTCCATGACGTCACTTCCATCACCTCCGAGCCTCACTGTTCCCTCAATGCGATGCAGGCCAAATACACGCCTGCAAGTGTCTGCACATGCAAATCCTCATTTATGAGAGCACTGCCCGACTTCTGACGATCCGTTAGGGTTTTGACGGGATTTTCGTCAAGGCAGGAACGATCGACTTCGACTTCGTGCGGGGTCTGTTCATTAGTTTTTGGCAGCTTAGCAACTGAACGGTGAACGGACGCGTCAAATCATTCTCTCTGAGCTTAGTTCGCGCCATATGCCCCGCCTGTTGATATTCACCGACACCGAATTGCGCATTTTAGCGAGCTTGAATCAATTTGGAATCTGACAGCCGTGCGCTCCATTCGACAGGTGTCTCTAGTCATCTGCGTTCTGCCGCCGTCCAAGCTCGTCAACGAAGGTGCACAACAGGTGCATTTCCGTGGCCGACGGGTAATTTTACCGGGTAAAATCCCTCGATATGTTTCGGTGCGTATCTTGGCAACAATCCCATATACTAGGTACAGTCTTGGAGGCTGCTTTTCTAGGATGTCTAACGGAATGGCCTTTTACCTCCCCCTTTGTTCTTGTGTTCATGTCGCAATTTTACACCCAAGATACCAATAGAAATACGACACCCCGCCAAAGAGCAAGGGTTTGGAGGTTCACCGATGCTTCAGTCCAAAAGGCAGATGTACACACAGAACATGCGGCTTTCGCAGAGGGTTTACGTCGCGGTATTGATGTGGACAGTTATGACTGTCCAAACCGTCTTGTCGCAGCATCTTTCCATCAATAGACCTAGACGGGCGGTCCGTCGATTGCTTCCCGACGCAATGCTACCATGCTGTTTGGAGTGTGTAGACAGTGCTCTGCCCTACTGAGCCAGTTCTACCGTTCAGACGTGCATCATCAATACCAACCTCATCAACAATACACGTCCTATACATAGTTACCGGTTCACGGTCCGTTGCCTCCTTCCCACACCAGCAGGAAATTATGCCGAAGGCACAGTCCACAAATAGGTTCCATTTGTGTTTGACCCTTAACGCCTCATGCATATGGCTAATCTTGTTCTTCCTTCCTTTTAGCGGCATCACCTTCTCACCGTTCGCTTACTATTGCTTACTCCGCTTCACCGCCTCATGTCCCACGCCGGCGGTTCGGTCCTTGGATCGGCACTGCGCGTTGATGACGTCAATAAGGTGGCAGTACCTATCACCGCTTTCAATGGTCGTGGCTGTGCGTCGGCGTCGGTGCTCACTGCAAATGCTCCTAGTATATAAGTAAAGTGACTCACTTCCGACTCATCCACATTCAGTCTACATCTTTCCCTCGATCAAGTCGATCAGTCCCATGTCTTCTTTCGGAAACAACTCCTCTGACTACAACATGACCAACTCCGTATACTCATACGATCTACCGGCATCGGCTTATCCTGTTGACTATCAAGTTCAGCATATGAACAACAACAATGGCTGCTCCTGCTATGCAGACGAACTCTTCCTCGACATACCCTCCTTCCCCACCATCGTCAATGGACGGCACTTACGGCAGCATTCGGAAGCGTCGCTCTCCTATTGCTTCGAGTTCCCTTGGACTCGACGCGCCGACCCAGCCCCGCCGCTACGTGACCCCTTCCGTTACGTCCAGGAAAGAAATCCCCGCTTTCTTCATGAGGAGGAGACCCCAGTCGATTCCATCCGATGAGGAGGATGAATTAACGGAGGAGCCGCCTGCGGCTGGTGCCACAGACCAAGAAAAGGTCGAATACAAGAGGCGGCAGAACACGCTCGCGGCTAGGAGGAGCCGTAAGCGCAAGATGCTCTACCAGCATGAGCTGGAAGAGACGGTTAGAAGGCTGACGACAGAGAAGGAGATCTGGAAGACTCGCGCCTTGACATTGAGGCAGCTCCTGCAGAGCCATGGAGTTCGCTGCCCCGACTTTGAAGATGCATAATCTCGACATAGAATCCTTTCCATCGTTTAGCTTGATACCTTTCGTATCAGCAGACTCCTTCGCTCAACTGCGCAATATTAGGTGAGGCACATTCTCTTAGTGTTTCTAATATCATGGGTTTCTAACCTACTTCATTCTTTGCAGAATGGCTTACTGTTTTCGCATCATTCGAACGCACCTAGACAGGTCCGTATACCTGTGAATAATACTTCGCCATACCGAGCACGCCGCATCCATACATATGGGCGCTTTCAGCGCCACGAATCTGCCGATGCGTCCATTCCCCTAACCACTCCATCTAGATATGAAGTATACACACCTCTGGACTTTGCACGCCCTGCACATTTGTTGTTTTCTTTGCACATAGACTGCGTATTTGTACCGGTCGCACACGGACTTTTATCACTTTTCTTTTCTTTGGACTTTGGAGTGCATTAGGTTATAGCATAGCACAAAGGATTAATTGATGGATTTTATGGATCTGACTGAAGCATACTTTAAGTTCACAGAATAGCCTACATTTAGGTGATTTGCATTGACTCGTTAGCTCGATTATACTTAGTAGTAAGTTAGAGTTTGAGATAACCAGCGCCACTAAGGAACAGAACGTAGTTGAAGGTACAAGGGTAACAGCTTGAGAACAAAAATCGCGTTGATTTTTGTGAACATGTGCATATTGTACTCGAAGAAAAAATTGGAAAAAACGGGCGACCGAGCCTTGACCGAGCCGGCAAAGAAAATTCACATCATCACATGTGCGTCATGCGCGTGACCGTCGTCTGGATTCCGCACCACCTCTTTCGGAATGCTCTTACCCAGGACTTTCATCTCTCGCACGCGAATACTACACAACAGAGGCTCATTACACATCCGAAAGGCAATGTCGACAGCTCGAATCGTTCCCCACGACCCCAAGGCGACATCGGAGCTTTGGGCCAGTGCTCCCACAGGGGAGAAACCAGCAAAGGTCGGCACGACCAGGGTATTCTACAACACACCTCCTCAGCAGTTGACTGCTCTGTCGTCGCTTGGCGATGGATTTGAGAAGAAGACCGGTAGTGCGAAGCGAGAAGTCGTGAGGAAGGCGGTAGGGAGCGCGGTCAAGGCGGTCAAGGCCATCGATGGTGTGAAAAACGTGAAAATCGATGCTTCTCTTGACCCTCATGCAGCTGGTATATACCCAAACTTGATCCTTTTCTTGGTCGCTAACCACCTGACGTAGCGGTTGCCGCTCATCTGGCCCAATACTCATTTACGTTGAAGACCTCTCCGAATCCTTCGAGATTCAACCCGAATTTGAAGGAACCTATCCCGGAAAAGCTCACCCTTTCTCCTGAGCAGAGCTCGGAAGAATGGGATCGTGGAGTGGTATATGCAGAATCGCAAAATTTTGCTAGGACTGTGAGTGATCCCTCAGAGATATCTGGACCGCTATGCTAAACACCGGGGAATGCACAGCTCATGGAATTGCCTGCGAATATAGTGACACCAACGGTAAGGCTATTTTCTCATCCCGCGCACAGGGTTGTTTCTCGGTCTGGTGAGAACTGAGGCACTGGATATTATTCCGTGGTTCTTTCGCGCGCGCAGATTTGGCATCAGATAACAAGAATAGTTGTCTTATTTCTGTCGGCGAACGATGTCCGTTTTTATCTGAAGAGACAGTGCCTATTTGTTTCAAACGAAGGGCCACCTTTTCAATCATTCACCGCAATTCAGTTGTCAAAGGGCTCCTAAAAGATTGCTCTTATGCTTCTTTTTCTCAGTGACAGTCCCGCGTCGAAGGCTAGCGGGCAAACAGTCACAACATTTCCTAAGCCATAGTTTCATACCAAAATACATGCAGCTACACTCGCTAGACCACCTTGCTCACTAATTAACTCCAGGCTTTCACGGAACGCGTCAAATCGGCTTTCGCTGGCATCGACAATGTCGAAATCCTCGTTCGGGATGAAGGTCTGGCAATCTCAGAGTCATTGATAATTGTACTGAATATGTCGTACAGCCTGGGCCGAAGAGAAAGGAATGCGAACATTCCTTTCCGTAACCCATGGCACCGCGGAGCCCGCTAAGTTACTTGAAATGTGGGTCTTGTTTTAGATATCTTTTTGCAGCCGTACTGACAGTTTTCAGTCACTACAAGGGTGCCCCTTCAAAAGACGACACACCGGTGGCTTTCGTTGGCAAAGGTATCACTTTCGATTCCGGAGGAATCAGCTTGAAACCATCAGCGGTCAGTGATGCTGTGACGAGCTAAAGGTTAACAAGGCGTTGATCAAGTTTTCAGGGAATGAAATTGATGCGTGGTGATATGGGTGAGGATCTCGGATCTTTGATTGACAAGAGCGACACTTCTAACGGGATCTCCGGTGTAGGTGGTGCCGCCTCTGTTGTCGCGGCTACACTGGCCATCGCTAAACTCAAACTTCCGGTCAACCTCATCACTATCACTCCACTGACGGAGAACCTTCCTGGGGTGAGTATTCTATTGTCGGTATCAATGCAGGAACGGGCGTGACTGATATGATATCAGCCAAGTGCGACCAAGCCTGGTGACATGTCAGTTCCCCCTTCACCGTCATGCGACTCCATAGACTGATGGTAAAAATAGAATCTACGCAATGAACGGTAAAACAGTTGAAGTCGACAATACTGATGCTGAGGGTCGATTGGTTCTTGCTGGTATGTTTCCCAGGGCCATGCTTTACCTGTGCTCACCTGCACGTCAGATGCCATTTACTATGCGTCTTCCGAGTACAAGCCTCACACAGCTTATTGACGTGGCCACCCTGACTGGGTACGTACCATTATTTGGCCCGCCTCTTCCTCTTTTCGGGCTGATCAGCTGCTAAGTGCCATGGACATTGCGCTTGGAGACCTATATTCTGGAGTATTCACCACGTCCGATAAGCTCTGGGACCAACTCCGCGTCGCAGGGGAGACTGAATTCGATCGATTCTGGCGTATGCCATTGGACGAGGACTATGGACCCCAGATCTATTCGTCAAATGCTGACCTGTGTAACGTGAGCGGAGTGGTTACGCTTGCAATCCACCGTTTCTATTTAACTAATACATCGCGTTTAGACCGGTGGCAGACCGGCTGGAAGTTGTACGGCAGCGCTTTTCTTGAAGGCGTTTGTTGAAGGGATTGATGGCGATGAGCCTTCCCTGAAATGGGCTCACATTGATATTGCTGGTACTATGGAGGTAAGCATATTGATTAGTATAGTTGTGGAGATGCTGACCGGTGCATCCTAGGTAACCCGACCTACACCTTATCTTGAAAAGGGCATGACAGGCCGATCTGTGCGGTACGTGCATCGAGTTGTTAAAGAGCTAGTTGTCACTCATTCGTATTTTTAGGGGTCTGATTGAATATGTACGAAACCTGTAGTAACTCGTGGCGATATAGTAGCATAGTAAGGAAGTCGTAAAAACAATGGTTAGCATATCAATTACATGTAAGTTTTCAGTCAACCCAGGTTGGCTCCACGGTCCAGCCAGCCTTGGGCTCATATTTGCCTCCTGCAACGTGCTCAGACTCCATCCTCAATTTCACTGTACGATGGACTTTGACGCCCTGTACGTCTTGTCGCGGAATGTGCCTTGGCTGGCCTCTGTTCAAGCTGTGGGGACTGTTAGAGCGATCGTTTTCATCAAGAGATACAGCAACATACGTCAAAGTCTTGCCCCAGGTGTCATCTCTCTTCTGATATCTCACTTTGGCTGGAAGTAATTCCAGGATCCACCATGCGGGTACAAGGGAGAGCTGATCGAACATTGGAGAGAGCGCGTCGCGGAGATCTTCAGTTTCTTCGCAGACGGTATCACCGCTAGACTCGACCGGGAGAGGAGCTCCTGTAATGGGTGGAGGACGAGGCTTTACGACTGGATATAGCATCGAAGGCTCCAGTCCAAACTGTTTGAGCAGCTCACGATGGAACATAATACCCGTATTGAGGAGGAAGCATTGCCTAATCATCCAGCGGAAGGGAATACGCGCTAGATTGTTACGAACGTCGTTAGCCACGGATCCTCCGCCGATGTCTGAAAAAATTTGGGTTAGTACTGTGCTTTTGAGATATAAAAGTGGAGGTACGAACCGCAATGACACCCCGCGAACCACACTTCTTCCACATCTGTCGGTGTATCCGTATGACAAGTTGAGTTTGCCTCATACTCTCGTTCATGCTCGACGAGAGACTTCTCGCGGTGTGGCTTCAAGGAGTGCTGATGCTGGGGTTCGGGTTTGGATTTGGGCATTTCGCCAGGGTTGTACACCCAGTTGGGCGGCCGTTGTGGGGTGAATACGATGCCATAAGGAGGGTATGAAGCGGACGCGATGCTCATCCAGGGATAAGGCATGACGGAAATGTCGCACGTGCGTATTTGATGCGGTGAAGGGGAGACGGCGGGGAATGATCCCTACCGAATCGACGGTGTCCCTGTCGGGGTCTTAAATTAACTATGCATGGAAGGTAGAGAGTCTTCCTACCATACACCTAGAAATTCAATATCGACGTCGATGGAAAAAGCCTTTTTGAAAGCCGTGCTTTGTGCCCAGCCGATATCGTCCTCGCGCGAATACATGCGATAAGCAAATGGGACTTGTTGGTGATTGCATCGAGGAAGAAGGCCGATCTATTGTCAATGTTGGTATGGATGTTTGGTTCCGGCATGATTATCGTACCTTGTGAATCCTGTAGATGTTGAATTAGCAACGGATCTCAGAAAGGTGCAAAAACCGACTTACATCCCTGCGAGTGCTCGAGCCGTCTAAATATATGGAGTTAGAAACGGTGAAGATGTGTATCAGAATGTACTGACATAGGCACCACGGGAGAATCTAAGTCCATTTCAGTTGACATGTGACGGCGTGCTGAATAGCAATAGAGAACGTACCCAAAAATACAAATCTTATCCCCTGCTTCGTCTATGGGGGTATTGCGCGATTAGCTAGATAAACGAAAATAGAGCAAATCACGCATACAATTCTGCATAATAAACTCGTATCCACCTAGAGAGCTCTGTTAACAAATGCGAGGTATTGGAAGAAGTCATTCAACTTACCCATAACATGCGCGTCAAGATGAATGCCAATCATGCTGTCGACTATTCTGCTGAGTTTTGCTGCTATAGGTGAAGCTACCTCAGGGATGCTATACGTTCCAATACCGGACTTCGACCTGTCAGGCGATAGATAGGGAGAAAGAAGATGGCAGATTTACCTGGTAATACACCAGCTGTGTTCTAGGATCATCCTTCTTGAGGAGCGAGAAGAAGTTGACAACATTGGAGTTCTACATCGATGTGTGAGTTCCTGAACTGCGCAAGGGTCGGGGTGGACATACATCACTGTCGAATTGGTCCCCTAACATTCATGAAGGGGTCAGCTGCGTTATTTCATAGCTCCGATAGGTCTTACCGGTTCCGTCAAAGCACAGGACGAGCGTCCTGTTTGCATGAGTCGGGGGGATCGTTGCCTCGAGCGAGGGTGCTGGCGACGAATCCCTATCTGGACTTGGAGACTTTTGGAATTCAGGATATTCGTCGACAGCAGTGTTCGTCCGCGTGTGCACAGCAGTTGACTGAGAGGGTGAAGGGGATGATGGCGCAGACATTATAGGAGGAAACCAGAGTGATAGTCTTACTTCAGACAAGGTAAGGCTGCTTTTATATGCTGAGAAAAGCGAGAATCCTCGATTGCCGCGCGAGTTCACCGGGTATCTTAGTAGCCTGTCTTCTTTCAATTTAGTACGTAACCATTCCGACTGTCCAACAGAAGGTCCAATTGCTGACAGGTGAAATAGTCACGAACACAAAGCATGGATGTAGATCGGACACTGAGATACCATCGTAGCTCTATCATTGAGACGTCCGCAGAACTCAGAAGCCGGTAGCATATTGGACCTTCTATTGTTGGCTGCTATTCCTGTTTCATCGGTGTCCGAGTCCACTAGAAGGTTGATGTTGTTGTACTGAGTAAGGTATGTGTAGCCAGATGACAGAGCAATCGCGTAAGTTTGTCCAAGTCCCTGTGGCTTACAATTCATTGAGGTCGGCAGAAGAAATACAACGAAGGTAAACATTTATCAGCAGTGGGCGACGAGTTCGGAAATTGATGATCGGCGGGAGCGGAGCATGGATGGATGTAGTGCCGTGCTTGGCAATGTCTTCCCTCTTTGCTTGTCCTTGTTGTCCTGCAGCCAGCTGTACAGTTGCTCTCAGCCACCGATCACTTGCCTTTTTCGAGAGCGTCCTCAACGTCGCCTGCATATCTTCAAAATGTCTTCAGACCTCCAATGGCTCCTTATCCGCGTTCGTAGGCTGTTTTTAGTGCACTGATGGGATATGGGTACTGATGTTCAGCTTCAATAGAACAGTAACTCCTTCATTGTGAAGCGAGTTCCCGAGGGCCCCATATTCTCCAAGGAGCCTGTACGTTCGTCTTGGTTATTCTTTCAAGCCCTATGAATTCTGAAGTTATGTTAAGGGTAACCTCCGGAACCTTCACTCGCACAAGTTCTCTGGTTTGGCCAATGCCAAGGTGTGTAAAAACTGTTTCGTGTACGACGGGAAGGATACTGAATTTCTCTGTCTTTTGCAGACCATTGATGTCTCCGACTCGGCCTGCTGGCGTAAAAATTACCACCCGCAAACCCAAGGCTTCCCCTCATGCCGTCGCGTCTGCCAAAGCGACTACTTACATCCGCCCACGATCGGGAACACGCCGTGCTCTCGGTATTGCTGCCCAGCCCGCAAAGAAGGGATACAGGCCAGACCTCCGTACTGTGAGGACGTTCTTTTCTTTGATTACTTCCATCTTTTTCTTTCTCTCTCTCTACCTTCTGGACGCACTCTCGTTAGAACCCACTGGAAGTCACTGAAAAGTGCATGAAAGCTGGGCGTGGACATGTTTGCAATATCAATTGGTCTTTCAGGAGCCGATCAAACTCTGTTAGATACCTCGCCATGTCGCTATCGGTGGCTCGCTCGTTTTGCTCAACGCGACTCACCGACTCTTTGGCGATAACATTTCTCGTTTCTTTTCGTCCCCTTTTACCATTTGGTGGACATAGTACTAACACATCTTACTTCATTTAGGCTGCCCTCGCTCGTGTTTCTGCTCTCATTGCCGCCCAAAAGGAGCCCAAGCCCTCACCACCGAAGAAGTTGCGAGGGAAGAAGGCTAGGGGTGGTTTGGAGTAGATGATTTGCGCTTTCCCTTGACATGCCTGTTATCGAGTATGCAAAATACATGTCCTATTTCAAGTCGCACACTTATGTTGGACATAAGACCCGAGCTAGTGAGGCAGGGTAGCCTGGACATGAGTGTACCGATCAAGAAGTTCGGTACTGGTTTTCGAACAGCACCGAAATGCTTCGGGTGCTGAGTGTCTTGATCTCCGCGGTAGAAGGTAGTAGCCGTTGTCACCTTCACGAAGGCCAAGACCAGCGCCCTAACAGTGTATCTGGACAATAGTGATATCATGATCTGGACTCCGAGTCGGAGGTTGACATAAACTACAATGCCCGGCTCTTGTCTTCAGTATAACCTTTCCTTACTTTCTTCTCTTGCTACACAAATGAGATGCGTTCCATTGCTCATGGAATGGAATTTCATGGATCTGCATCAGTTGCGGACAGGACCAGCGCTTAACGAGTCCTAGCTTCATTAACAATATACTCGTAGTACTTGTATCCAACCTTTGGGCAGTGGCGCGAAGGGGCAATCACTATTAGAGTGATATTCATATAAAAGTCCGCATATTTACGGGTTAAGTAGGCAAAGTCCGTCTGGTTCCCTGCCGGCAAAGAAATATTATACTACAGTGCGTTAGACCCCCTCAAATTTATCCTTCCCACATTGAAATCTACATCGTGTCCGACCCACTTGCATATGCGCTCGAAATATGTTCGTGACATATTTACCGGTGCTTCTGGTGCTTCCGAGTCCGAATTCATCGCGATGTCTAATGTCATCGAACGGGCATCCTCGTCTGCCTTCTCACCCGAAGTCTCAACCGCTTTGATTGATATCCGCGACATGGGATCCAGCTCTTGGCCCGGCCGCTCAATTGATGAACGTGCTGTAGGAATCGTTACATGCGCAGGCGTACCGTGTACTAATGACTTCTTGGACCCTAGAAAACACGGCTTCAGCGTGTTGAGATAAGGAAATTGTCTCAGTACGGCACCCACCTTGACTTCTAGTAGCCACAACTACTGGCTCCGGTCGCTTCTGTGTCTTCACATTGAAAGGCGACCTAGTACTCCCGCTACGCGAAAGAATGGTCTTGGGGCACTTGACTTGTTCGTCGTCAGATGATATCTCGATAATTTCTGTGTCGGCAGGAATGGCTTTGGCTATTGATGTCGAGTAACGGTGAGCGACGCTCTTCACACAGCAACAGTTCACGCACCTTTCCCTGTGTTCGTTCGGAGCTTCTTAGGAGACCGGGAAGGAGGTCCTTGCCTTGAGGACTCGACGTGGGCGAGTTCGAGGCTTTGCGTTTCCCTGGTTTAGCCTCTTTGTTCTTGATACCACCAGCTGCCGCCGCTCTTGCCTAAAGGACGCGTTAATTAATGGTGCAGTGTAATGGCACGTATGAAAGAACTCACGTCCTATGAGAACGCTCCAATGCGGCAGCTCGTCATCAGAATCCATCGCGACACTCGAGACATCGCAAAGAGGAAAGATAAAGGTCAACGTCGGAGACGGAGTCAGGGGGCGGGGTATTAAGGGTCTTTACCGGTTTTGCCGCGGCGCAGCTGATTTCGACTCAGCGTCGAAGCCTTGTCTTTGCCGTCTGCTCTCGCTGTAGCCGCAGGATAGGCATTCTTATTCATTTTTAAGCTGAAATGCATGCGAGGGACTTTGAATGTGGTATGTGGTCTACCAAGATTTCCTTTGCCCTCTTTTCTTCAATACAGTGGATCGATGAATTCGGCGTCCATTAAGCCGACACAAGCTGTGCCGCGGCAATGCGAGATCTTAGCAAGATGCCGGACGAGGGGCTAACTCCGCTTCAAGGCACCCACGGAGATCCACTATAGCACTCTTATTTTTGCTCACACGCAACGTCATGTAGGTGGCTTTGCAACTGAACCTCTTTATATAATAACGATAATACCAAATTTAACATAGTCTCCCCCATGCCACGACCAAGCCGTTCAAATCTTCCAACGTGAAACCGAGACACCGTACCCACAAGGCAAATAAGAAAAAAACGAAGCCCCGTAACGAGACACCACCTACAAAGGTTGAATACCTGCCTTGACGAAGGAAATCAGGCCGGGATTTCGGAAAACGATAGAGTCGACTTACATGGTACCAGTCGAAAAAAGTGGAACGACTCAAACGCCTACATCATCATCCGACCCCCAGTCGTCCCAGAACGGCAGCGATTTACTCAGTCGTAACGCATAAAGTGAGGGTGAACGATGGTGTAAGCTGACCAGTTGTTGTTCTTGAAGGCTGATCACCGTCGAGTCTAAAAGGGCGCCAGAGAACTTGGTAACATATCGAGAAAGACTCGTGGTCGAATGCAAGGAGAGCATAGGGGGCCACACAACTAGGAACGGATAGATTAGTGAGAAAAGAAACGGTAGTAGAAAGGCGTCATATACAGTATCCTGCGCCGGTCTGAACTCGCCTCAACGCATTGGAAGGTCCTGTTATCACCCTGAACAATAGTGGGGAATTGAAAATCTTGCTTGCCACTTACTGGACGTCGACACGGTGTAGTAGATGAACCTGCGAGCACCCTGCTTGGATTGTGAAAATCCTGAACGCGCAACGACATGTCTTCGCTCGCCGAATGTCGATACATGGGTCGAGGTAAAATTATTCCTTCCTTAAGACGTACAGTCTTCCGGCTGTTATCGAGATCTTGCTGGCTTATCTAGAGAGGTTATGCAATAGACATGCTCCACGGATGCTGGTACCGTCTCGAAATATGGCATGTAGACGAGGGAATGGAAATGTGGGTACATGCGCGTGATGAAACCTGAGAAGGGAGATATGCGTGGCAGTCGATGACTGGTTCGCTGGACAACGACCATTCGTCCTCAGGCCAAAACCAGCCTCCCACATGCAGTAGTCCTTTGCACTTCCCGGACACGTTCTCTCTCTCTAAGTGGTCTCCACATCGACACGAGCCATCCTCCTTCTACAAGTGCTAAGGGTATTTTTCAGTCGAGACGTTCGCTAGAGCTGGTGACGCGTCACTTCCACGAGAGGGGGTCTTGGACTCGAGGTCGTATGCGCGTAACAAAGGTTGCACCGAACAGGGAGGAAGCGATAGTATTCAATGGGAGAACCAATAGATGAAGCTAATCTGGCGTGTAAGGCTGGTAAACGTATCGTACAACCAATGTACTCACTGAGCAGATATTGACTGCGCTTATTTCAGGAAAGAGTGACACGCCGCACGCGTCACTGAGTCTCATCCATCGTTAAAAAGTAAAGTCGTCCTGAGTCTGTGATATGCCGCTCGTCATGGGGCCTTGACTTCGAAAACAGGGTGTACATGGAAGACGGACATTAGAGGCTGAAAATGGAAGAAAATCAATAAAAGCTGAGGGACAAGTAGAACATGAAGCTCACCTGGCATATCCATGCAGAAAATTTCCAAAGCGCCTCGCGAGTCGTCCAATCAGAACATCGAACACGAACGCAGGAAGCAAGATAGTAAAACACGTGCTTACGCGATGTCAGTAAAACAATCCCGATTTAGAATTCAACACTTTTTATCTTCGTGTAGCTTGTCCAATTCGCTCGACCGTCCCACTGTCACCATTTTCTCGACTGTGTGTCCTCATAGCTATACACGGCCAAGACGAATGCGAACGCACGATCTACAATCGATATGCTAAGCTCGTCCATCTGGTGTTGCAGGTCGCGGTATCTACCACTCATATAACCGGACATGGACTTGTAGCCGGCCACTCTGGGGAGCAAGTGGGAGAATCTACGTTCTTGTAGCGGCACCGTCACCGTCATTACTGGAATTGTGAATCATCGTCGCGTCGTTATCGTGGAGCAGATGTCATTAAGGCACCCACACAGGCGCCGATTCCCGACTTGGCTTCCCTGTCCACCTGATGGCAAGCATAAGTATGCTTCTTGAAAATAATCTCTTTCGTTCTTTGCTTACCGCCATGTCCCAGGATACTGCCACTCGGCTCAAGGAAGAAGGAAACGCGCTCTTCATTCAGGGCAAATTCGACGAGGCTCTGGTCAAGTATACGGAGGGTATCGAGCTCGATGGATCGAATGCGATCTTGTGGGCAAACAGAAGTGCCTGCCACCTGTCGATGAAGCGATAGTGAGCTGCTTTTCCCTTTATCCCAGCCTTCGTGTCTTAACGATATCGCTATCAGCCTGGACTCTGTTGGAGACAGCCGTAAAGTGAGTTCAAGTTTCTAACAATGTTTTCGACTTCTCTACGCGATTGCTTCTGGATCTAGACACCACCTTTCACGGAGTCGCGTCTGACACTGAAAAACGGCTATGCTACTACTGGGAAGCCAACTCCACGGAAATCTCCCCTCGTTCGTTTTCGGTGTACCATCCATATCACAGGTTGCATTGTGGATGCGATTTTGCGTTTTGTTATTACATGGCAACAATTTTTGAATGTCCCCGTTCAGTTCAAACGATCCAACTCCACTTCTTTGCGTATAAATATCCTTTTATTCATCTGACCCTTTTTTGCGCAGGCAACAGAACTCGACCCGATGTACTACAAAGCCTGGGCTAGACTTGCCACCGCAAACGATGTGAGTACGTCTTCAAGTTTGTTCAGGATTGTTCTATCGAGGTGCCAATATACGACCGAGTTCGCGTGCAATTGGTCGTAAATCAACTGTTGAAAATCTTGTCCTGACGTTGTCCGTAATTCCAAGTTCCATAATGCTCACAACATCCGCAGGCTTTAAAAGAGTATCTCCCCAGCTCGTTGGCGTGGCAGCACGCACTGGACACCCTGCCAACCGAGAACCTTACTCCGATGCAGGAACAGCAACGCCAAGAATACCAGAAACGACTCGAAGAGTCCACCGACCGCTTGCACCGCAAAGCTAGTGGTGGTGACCGGTCAGTTAATACACGTTATTACAGAGATGGCGATGGCAAGCAGCCATGGGAAGTAGCGGGAGAGATGATTTCGGCTTTGGAGGCATCCGGAAATACCAGCAGCAGTGTAAGGAGTTTTTTTTTTTGATGTTTCATTGATGTTTTGACTTAACGATGCCTAGGCTTGGGTGCTGCACGGAGCGTATAAAGTGAGGTTTTCTCTTGTACTACGTTCGTCTTCCTCATATGGTTGCTAGGAATTCGCAGAGGGTGTGCGGATCATGAAAGGAGTGACGGTAGACGAAGGAGGAAATCTCCGAGGAGAAGAAAACGTATGCTTCACCTTTTCTACATTCGCGTCGATATTCACGATGACTGTAGGGATTGCAACACCTCGCCAACGGAATTATCAGGGAAGATCGTGTCTTTCATATGGAGAAAGAAGCCCTGTGGATCAGCGCTTACAACCGCCTCGGTATGTTTCCGCGGCCTTCTTTTCTCCCCCATCTAATAATCTGTTGTGCTAGAAACACTTGAACGCGAAAGACACAATCCATGGCTGGCCGCAGGACCCGACTACCTGAAACGCGAGGCTCCCTCGCGGCTAGCCAAAAAGGGATGGGATGTCATTCGCCCAGATATCGACCTGACCATCCGGTTGGCAGTCTCTAGTCTTGCATTCAAATCTTTACTGACTATCATTCAACAGGTTCTGGATCCTTCGGGGCAAAATTGAAGGAGCGCTCGACGGCAATGTAGTTTCGGAGAACGAATATTACAGTCGATGCCTTGAGGTCCTCGAGTGGGGTCGGGAACTGTGGAGGGATGTCCCTGCGTCTGAGCGTGGCGAGGTTTTTGACGAAGCCTTCATTCGTGGATTACGAAATTTGTATTTGGAGTCGATATTGCAGGTGGGTGTTACTTGTTGCTGTTTCCTCGTATAAACTTATGGATCTCTAGTGCTACGGCTTCGACCGAGTAGACACGAAGCTCGTGGAGAAGTTGGTGGTGGAGGCAGACATCCTGTTGAGGAGCCTAGAGACCGACCCTGGCCCTCATGATAATGCAGACCCGGGGTTCAAGCTATCGTTCTACAATTATTGTCGTGGAAATGCTTATGCGTATGTCCTTCCAAACCACTGACAAGTCATACCTAACTTTCCTCTAGGTGCAAGGCGTTCTTCCACTCTGATCTCGCCAGACGCGGTTTGTCCGTAGATCAGAACAACCAGCTCGCAGGGGAGTACTACTTACAAGCTGCGGAGGCATACCCGGTAGACGACGAGAAACATTGTCGTGAGTGTCATCTATCCACCCCCCTTTCTCATCGCTAATTCTCAATCATTGGCAGGATACCTCAACTCCGCATTACAGCATCTCTCCCAGCACCCCGGACTCACTGCTCGCAGGATGCTAGATATCATGACCCGATTCCGAGTGTCAGTGAATGAGTCAAAGAAGATATGGAATCAGCATCCATCGAGGATCAGGCCAGAGAAGGACTATTCTGATGGAATGGTGATGCAGAGGGAGAATGAGTTGAGGAGGGCACTTTTGGAGAGAGGGTTGTCATTGGATACAGTGGTGACTAAAGAGAGTAGATAACTGACTTGTGTATTTGATGTGTGTATTGGTAGTAATATTGAGATGCTGGAAATGTAGTGGGTGTATGCCCACTATACTGTACACATTATGGATGTTTAAGGTATCAATTATCTGCCAGTATTAGGATGATGAATTTGGTACATCCTTAGGAGTCAAAGAGTCAGACAAGCTTTTGTGAAGGACTTCAAACAACCAATAACTAATGGTAGAAAAAGAACAAAGAAACTATGTGTATCTAAAGGGACTTCTACTGTGGTGGATAAGAAATATGAATGACATACAGAGAAGAGGTCTTGGCTAGCAAGGAATGAGTAGGGGAAAAACCAAGAGAGTGTGGGAGACAAGTGAATGAAAGTAGATCAAGACTTTGCCCAGGTGATCACTGGTAACTGCTATGGGAGTACTTGAAAGAAGAAAGTGACCTGACTAAGTAATCTCAATTTCCTCCAACTGTGCCTCTACATCATCACTATTCACCCTCTGAGAGCTCCTCTGAGCATGCTCAGGCTCATCTGCTTGCTCTGCTTGAGCTTCAAGATCATCATCAAGACTGATACTGATCATAGAATCATCTTGGGTGCTTGTCTGACTCTGACCTTGCCCAAAGTGGAGTGAAGACATAATGCTTCCCTCCCATGAGTCATCAGGACGAGCATGGCCTGCAGCAACATGGCCAATGAGAAGTGTTGGTGCAACACCCTAAAATAAAGTGTTATTCATATGTGAGGAAAGAATAAGTATATTCATACCCTTGTAATTGCTGTTATAGAATCAAGGTAGATTTCTTCTTGGCTGTTGTAAGCAATGAAGATCATATAGAGGATCAAACATATAGAATAAAGAGCAGAAGATTCCACCAGAACTTCAATGACACGTCCATAGACCCCAAGAGCACCTCTTATTCCATTGTTTGCTTGTCCTACACTCAGAATATGGTAGATGATGAACACAGTGCACCATAATGTTGTAGCCAGACTGAATGATGCATAAAGTATCAGACCATAAAGCTTGGTAGTATCAGCATTTATGAACATTAGGTGTGTGGCCATAATTTTGAAAACTAGATTGAATAATTGATCAACAGAAGCAATAGAAGAAATGAATGACTTTACCAATACCACATGCTAGACAAAGGCTGGGAAGTATAATGACTAGCCAGTGTTTTCCCCAAATTATCCAGCAACGCCAAATCTAGAATTTGAATAGTAAGCTATAACCAAGATTTTCATTATTATCACCCATACCATAGTAGAATCAGCAAGAATACTACCAATGGTGCCTGTAATACCCATCCCTATTATTCCCAGAACATTGCTATTGTTATACTTCAGATATCTAGTCCAAATATTTTGTCCATTGGAAATAAATGCAGAAGATGTAAGTGACCAAGACATGCCAAAATTAATAAAAGTCACAATATAGAGGACAATAATGACTATAATCATAGCTTGTCCAATATACTGTGACTTGCTAAAAGCTGAATCATTCATTTTAATTCTACTAACACAATGATCATAATACACACTCACATATATTCCATATTGTAATAGCAAGAATACCTGTGTATATACCTATATGTATTCAGAATTGGATACTAAGATCCTAACTTCAATGAATATGCTCACCAAGTAATAAAGAAAGCAGTATGCTTGTATTCAAATAAACATTAGAGAAATTTGTTAAGAAAACAATATTTATGCCACTGTTGATAAGCAATGTTGGAATACCAGTATTATTTTGGGTAGCCATTAGAGACTTGCAAAGGAAAGGTAATTCTGAATGGAGGATGTACTTGTGAGCATAGTATCTATAATACTTCTCATAATATAGGATGTTAGTGTACAGCCACAATATCTCTATAATATTGAAACAGATCTGGCAGTGAGTGGAGATCACTTTAATGCCCTAATGACTCTAGTCTCATTATTAGATTATTTGAGATCTAACAGTGTTGATTGTAGCCAAGAGAAGAGACACAAATATAGAGATGTGAGATGTCTCATCTTGTAACAAAGAGCCCTTGTTGAGTATTGGGATTTGATGATATTTAGAAGATGCTGAGAATCCTTCTTTTGTCTTATCATTAATCACTACTATTTCAATCATGTATCTTATATCTTTGGTCTATCTACACCTTGTAGTGTATGAAACTGAGGTGAGATTTATGTATATTTTATTACAAGTCTGAGGTAACAAGGATTTGTTCTGAGGGAGGCATGCAAGTTGATGAGCATGTTCTATATTTATTCTGAATGAAGGACAATTTCATCCCTTTATACATATGCTGTTACATGCCCATCAATTTTCCCCATGTTTCTTGTGCTTAAAGTCAAGATCAGTACTATGCCTATGACCAGAATAATAGTATGTACCTGCATTCAACACCATCAAAGACTTGATGCATTGAATCTGCTCACCAGTCAGCTCTCATGCTCCATTCAATAAAAACTATATAGTATGATGATGAGTCTTGACTTCTGTGGCAACAGAAAAACCAAAACTCTAGAAAAAGTTCTCAAAAAATAATGTGTAGTGGCAATAAAGACTTTTGTTTTGTTGTGCAAGTGTTTCAGTGCACCTCCATATGGTGAATTCCTCAAGAATGCAAGTATATACTGCAACTTTTCAGTCAGCAAAGTAGTACCTTTAATGAATGAGTACTAGAAAGTGTTGGCTGTAAGCTGGAAAGAGTCTCAATAAATGAAAAGGAACAGAATCTAGTATAACTGGGAATATCAGCAAGTCATAAACGAAGTGATGGCAATTAACTAGTAAATGCTATAGGCAATGTTAGCAGAATTAGAGGCAATGGCATCAATGAGAAATACTGTTGGCAAGATAACAAATACTGTGGCAGTAATAAACAAGTACTGGAGATGAGAAACTGACAGAAATAAATGAAGGTGAGACTGATTAGTAAAAATATGGAGAGGGAACTAGTGGTAGCAAAACTGTGACTGATACTGGGCAAGGCAGAAACTGAAACTGATCCTAAGTCCACAATTTTCTTTTAATATCCTCACTAATTTCAAAGTTAATTTTTTGGATCTTATTCTGAAACTGAACAGTAAGATACCAAATACCTTGGCAAATGATCCTATACTGTTGACTGAAATTCTATGACAGATGCTGTTGGCAGCAATAATGATTCTAATCCTGAGTCCACATGAGGACATAACTATTCTGAACTGAGCTGAGGTAAAATGATGGCAACATTAATATGCTAGCCATATGTTCACACCTTGATTTTGCAATTTTGTAATAATATTAGTGCATATCTATTCCAAACTAGTCATAACTAGAGGACTATAGCAGAGGCTTTGAGCTGATAGTCAGGCCAAGAAGCTACTAGTCGAGCCAGGACTTAGGCACGATACCACTAGTGGGTCAAACCTATAAGCCGGCATGACTAGTACCTTGAATACTAGTATGAGTCAGTAAATAACAATCACTAGTAGATAAGGGTAGCTATGAGAGCATCCAACAAGAGGCCGAATACACAGATCTCGTGAAAGTACAGTCACTAGTGGAACAATCCAAGCAGGAATGCCTAAGATGGGTCAACTAGTCATGTGGCAGTCTCTAATGGGACTTAGAAATGAACTAGTAAAAGAAGCAAAGCAGCCTAGATCTGACTAGTGCAATTGAGATCTATTACAATTGGCACTAGTATAGTCAGGCTCCACCTTTGATCATGATTGAACAGCTGCTACAGGCATGAACACCAGACTCGGAGCTTATCTGTGACACTAGTGGAGCACTGTTGGGCTGAGAGTGTGGAAGTGGTGATGAGCCTCAAGGCTCTGTATGCTCAGAATTCACGGATTTTAGCATTATAATAAATGCCTTGTCCACTTAGCAGACTTTCCCTAAGTCAACAATTGCAATCATGGCAATACCCACTTTTACTGCTAAATATCCTTTCCAACTCATATTCCACATCAATATGTGCCACTTCATTATTGCTGCCAGGCACTTGATTGCAGATCTTATGGAATTAGAACCATCATTGATCACTCAGCACAACCATTGCTGATATCAGCATCAAGCATCACTTAATAGAATGCCACAGCCAAAATACCTACTCCATAGCAAAAGACTTAATATCATGATCTTTCCACCAGCTTTACTAATGCTGTTACAATGCCAAGACAATGCTGCATGCATCTCCTTCAGTGCACTAGCTTCAATGTACTTTGCTGCAGCAACACAGCAGCCCAAGAGTCCGTATGTTGGTGGAATTCTTTCTAATCACTAAGTCTATACATGGTAAAACTATGTGGGTGCTGTTACTTTAGAACTCTGGGAGCATGCATTTTGTATCATTTCTTACCAATCTATGTACTAAAGACTTACTAAGGACTTGTTTCAAGTATTCTAAAATTATTCCAGACTTGTAGTATAAAAGCTAGTGTAGTAGTAAGTTAGGATACACAAGTTACTGGACACTAGCTATCGCACACATTAACGACCACTGTCACTGTTTGTACTCACTAGGGGACAGACAATAAAACCCTGTCACTCTGAGTTATACTCTCTGTCATGGCTTTTTTTCTAACAGTATTGGTGTACACTCATATTGCACCAATACATGGAATTTCATGTCCACAACTTGCCTTTATCTTTTATTCTGCCAGTATCATTTCACTTTCACCAGCCAGGATCATTTTACCAGCTTTCACTTTCTGCATCGCCATTGTTTTACCTCAGCCCAGCTCAGTACAGTTATGTCCCTATGTGGACCCAGATTAGGATCATTATTGCTGCCAGCAGTGTCTGTCATGGAATTTTAGTTAACAGTATAGGATCGTCAGTCACAACATTTGGTATCTTGCTATCAGCTTCAGTATAGGATCATCAGTCTTGGTATTTGTTATCTTGCTATCAGTTTTAGAATAGGATAGTCTCTGTGTAGACTTAGGATCAGTATCAGTTTCATTTTACTGCAGTTAACCTCAGCCCAGTTTTAGTCTCAGCCTCACCCAGTATCAGTCATCATTTTGCCGCCACTAGCTTCCTCTTCATATTTCTGCCAGCCAGTTTCTCTTCGTTTTACCACCAGTTTCTTGACTACAGTCTTCACCTCTTGCCGTCATGGTATTTCTCTTTGATGGCATTTTCTCTAATTCCATCAACATCGCCCATGGTATTTACTAGTTAATTGCTGTCACTTTGTTCATGGTTTGCTGGTATTCCCAGTTATACCAGATTCCATTCCTTCTTGTACATCGAGACCCTTCCCAGCTTACAGCCAACACTTTTTAGTACCCATTCGTTAAGGGTACTATTTTGCTGACTGAAAAGTCACAGTGTATACTTGTGTTCTTGAGGAATTCATCACATGGAGGTGCACTGAAACACTCATACAACAATAAAGCCTTTATTGCTGCTATGTGCTATTTGCCATGAACTCCTATAGAGTTTTGGTTTTTGCCATTGCCATGGAAGTTTAGGCTAATCAGTGGACCACTTGTGGAGTTCCTGGACCCATTAGTAAGCAAGAAACTACCTCTAGACCACTTATTGCATGATTATTCACCATTTACTCATGACTAGCCAAGAAATTCTTACCAATAATACCCCTTTACCCAGTTTATTTATACTTCAATTGTACCTTACTAGTCAGTATATAAGTAGTAGAGTAGGTGCACATGCATGCAGGCAAGCCATCCCCATGATTGTGACCTACTAGTCAGTAACTAGTGCCCCAATTAAAGGCTTTTGTGCTTAACCCCAACAAAGCAGTGACTAGTCGCTGAGTTACTCATAGTATTGAGTGAATAGAAGTGTTTTAGAGTCCACTGTTGCATTCTGCATAGGCCCAGAGTGTTTCAAAGTTAGTTTAAGTGAGTTCTTGAAGTTTAAAGTATTATTCTTAGGCCCAGAGTGCCACTAGTCAGCTGAGAGAGTGACTAGTCAAGTGTCTATCACTTGTAGGAAGCAGTATAGGGCCAAGAGAGCCACTAGTTCAAAGCAGTTTCAGTCAGAGCAAGTGCAGTAGCTCCAAACAAGTCACTATTTCATTCAATTATGTCTTAACAACCCCACTAGTGTGAGTAGTACTTTTGTATAGCTCACTAGTAACAAATAAACATCTTTATCACAACTTCCCTTGATTATTGAAGTCTGTAGAGTGCTTCTATCATACTCAAAACATCTGAACTCAATATATTTGGTGATTTGTGTAGAGTAGTAGAGGGTTTTGGTGTTGTGGTGTTCATATCCATTCATCAGCCTTTTGTCACTTGCCATTACTGAGCACATCAATGAGCACTACCAAGGAAGGTGCAATATGCTGAGATCAGAACACATGGCATGATCTGTGACACAAATTAGGCAGGTCAGGAAGCACCGAATAGGACAGAAGCTCTCAAGCCCTAACAACATTGGGGATGGAGACTAAAGTATTTTTGCAGAGTGACGATCCTCCACCTTTTCATCTACTACCACTATGAGATGCAAGTGGATGGAACTTGTACTACTCACTGCTACTGCAAGCAAGGCAATGATCATATCTAGGAATGACCTTAGCTCTGGGGGACACTGGCCCAACCAGCCATTTTGGTTCAACAACACGGGGGGAAACTCTGCCCAACAAAACCAACAACCTCAGCAAAATCAACAAAACCAGACCAATACGCCATTTGGATTTAGTGCTTACCAACATTCACCAGTCATGAATGTGCAGAACCCACCCATGGCTTGGCTGAATGCATATGCATTTGGGCCATTTAGATTCATGCAGGCCCCTCCAATGTTTTATGGAGGATTTGCCCCCAACATACCAGCCAGGCCAAGTGATGGCACTGTGCCCCCACCAAGTACTGGTAAGGATATTGTAATGTCACCTAGTTCAGGCATCACTGAATGTATTACAGAGCATGGGACTGTATCTGGCCCTAACTTATCAGGGAACAGCTGAGGAGAAACTACTGCAGGTCCCTCCAACATTGGCAGCTCCTGATCTCAACCAATAGCAGAGAATTGGGCTCACAATGACCACCATCAAAATGGGGGACATTTGTGATGGTGTAGCCCATCTCCACAACAGGAAAGCCATCATAGAGAAATGGCTGACAACTCAGATGGCTTAGAACCCCTCCAGAATAGGAAGAGAAAAAGATGGATGATGGATTGAGAAATAGAAAGGGAGAGAGAAGCTGAGGATAGGCATCAATGCCAAGATGAGGAGCTCAAAGACAAGCATGAAGTGATAAGAGCATGCCACCAAGCTATGCATGCCCTAATTCTCTAACACATCATTGAAATGCAGGAGCAGGAGCTGCGAGAGCACTGGGGTCCAAGAGAGGACCACATGGCAAACACACTATGAAAGCAGATATTGCTCAACCTAGAACTCATGTGATGGTACAACAACCTCAAAAGGATGGTAGCCAAATAGCACCTCTCCCCATTAGGGTGGGAAGGACTGGTGACCAAGCACATTTGCGAGTTGCAACCACGATACTTAGGAGGAAGATACAGGAATGACACTGATGTTGAGGAGTTCCCAGAGGATGATTGGGACTACAACAGTATCCAGCAGGTCAGCTAGAACCAAAAAGAGTGTGTGTATGCATACAAGGCTATAAGCATGACTCATGGGCATGACCATACCCTAGCTGGGAGAAGAGGAGAGGCAGTAGTGAGCTGACCATGACAGTCAATGGAATCCATTATGCCTGTCCCAGTTTGAGTACAATGCCTACCTGAAGAGACCAAGAATGATGAATTGCTTAACTTCTATGACCAGCAAAGGTTTGAAGGAGTGATCCCAGACAAGAGGATATCACTCAAAGAATGAATCACTGACCTATCAATAGACCTACCAGCCATGCCTCTGGCAGATGGATCCTATCCGTCATGCATGCCAGACAACCATTCCATGACAGACATACTTGACAACATTGGGCCGACCAACATTGATCTGGAATGAGACAGAAAACCACTGAACTCAGTCCAAGCTGTGAGACTGTTTGTTGAACACCAGACAAGAAGGCTTTGACACCCAGGGAGACTCCTATCATGGCTGAACATGGTAAAACCAAATGGGGTGATCATGGTGCATAAATGAGATAACTCATTCTGAGGAATGTATGGGCCTGGCTTCATATATGACCCAAGGACAAATATGATGTATACAGATCAAGAAGCAGTCGATGCAGCATGCACATTGGAGGACAGTCAGGAATATTCACCTCCAACCAAGGATATGTGATGACCTAATCCTCAAGGTTTCCCCATGAATGTGAGAGAGGTCCAGGAATCAGTCAACTGGATACATATGTGGCAATGCAGATGGGAGGGAATACTACACCTGCTCAGCAAATTTAACCACATATCTGAGACAGTAGTACTCAGATATTGAGACCTATCGATGCACAAGATAATCGAGCAATTTGAGCCCAACCAGCACCTACAGGACCTTCATCATAACATGAGGAGGCTGTACTTTATCTCACTGGACCCAAGATACAGGGTTACCAGTAGTAACTCTGTTGCGAATGGCACTGGACTACTAGACCCAGTCAATGGCACATTGGACAACTGGTGTCAATATGCTGCACACCACTTCTACCCTGGAGGACTGAATCCAGTGGGGGGGATTATTATAGACATGTCGAACCATGTAAGCTATGCCAGTGCCTGGGGAATGGTACTACTCTGGCTGCTATACCCAACCAACTTGAAAAACTATTATGCCAGATACTTTGCTGGCATAGTATTCTGACCAATGTTGCGACTGCAGCCTATTTACACGTGTAATTTTGCAATCTAGAGTGTTTTACATGCATACTGAGAGATAGTGAGCGAGCGGACTAAAACTATGCGTTGACACTAATGCTACGTGGTGCAATGACATGGAATATAACTTATGGCATAAGAAGCAATAGGATTCTAAACAGGACTTAGTCACAGCACTGTACCTGATGGGCATGCGTGATGAGAAGGCCAAACCCTATACCCAATGCCTTAGACTCTAACTTACAAGCATGCTTGCAGGAGCTAGATAAAACCTTGAAGATTGCACTGACACTGAGAACACTTAGCGTGCTCACTAACTGTGATGTGCCATACCTGAAAATCCAGGGAAATCCTTAAATGAGCTGATAGATATCACTGGCATGAGCTTGGGCAATGGGCTTCGGCCGAAGTCCACGAGCCCGTGTTCCATTGTTCTGAGTCCCATTGTTCGAAGACTCACTTGTTGCCATGTCTATGAGAAGCCTCTGTGAATCCAAGAAAGAAGTCCTGAACGACATACACCAGAACTGATAGTTCCATGCGCCTAGACCTGTCAGTCACTAGAGAACAAGCCCATGGGTGTTGGGAGAGCACCTCTTGGCACGCGTTTAGCAAGCTCACTATAGAAATGAGACTAAAACTGGGAAGTCCGACTCAGATGCTCAGTAAGGCGGCGGTGGCAACGTGCTACACATGTAGGAGTCTGGGTACTGTGCAACGTTTGTAATTCTAATTCCCCTGTAGTATAAGTAGGCTGGTTACAGTAGGTAGAGGCCAAGTTTCGAGCCCCCGAGTTCCCGTGCATGTGTTGAAGGTGGTATTGTAACAAAGGATCAGTTTGTGACTTCGAGCTGTGCATAGAATTAGTGAGCTCACTCAGAGAAATACGAGATACCCTTTTGATAAGACTTTTGAGAACTTAGTCAGAGTGAATATGAATCAGTGATGCTGTTTCTGTTCTGTTAAGTGTGATAAGTCTGTTCAGAGAATGTGTTGAAGTGGAAATCTGAGATCTGTTCTGTTCTGTTCTGTTTCGTGTCAGTTCTGTTTGAAGTTCTGTTTCTGAATCTGTTTCTGAGTGCTTCTGAAGTGTTCTTGAGTTGAGATAACCTGCTGGAGTTAGTTGGAGAACCCCTACACACAGTTGTGTAGCGAGCAGGCTAAGTCAGTACTTGCCTGTGGTGTTCTTTTAGCGAGCTCACTAAAGTTTCGGTGTGTATTGCCTCTGTTTCTGTCGGGATCAGTGTCCCTTTTGTATTATAACTCGAATCTGCCTTGAAGGTTGCATCATGCCAGTGAACGACCTTCCTGTAAAAAGTTCCTAGACTTAGGAATTCATTAGAGAAAGCTTAGCTTTGCTAAGAGCACTGAGAATAAGAGAAACTCTTCGAGATATTGAAGTATAGTTGGATCGCATTAGAAATAATTGCTCCCTCTAGAACTTACAAGAGTGATTGTAGTTTGTGTAGTTGTGTGAGTGTGTGTGTGGGTTTTTGAGGTTTGCCTTTTAGCCTGCTCACTATTCCACAGGTGCCCACAGCCAGCCTCTTCACCGAGATCTACTTGGACTTCATCAGATGATGGAATTAGGACTGACCTAATGAGGTACCCATCATAGTGGCAGGAGGGCCTCCAATACTCAGACAGATGATCTTCAATGCTGCAGTGGAAAATCTATCTGAGCTGGATGTGATACATCACCTGGTGGCATGCACAATTATGCAGGAAATGTTGGATAACATGTACTCATGGGTGATGGTATGGATTGACCAGCACTTGAGCATACACTTTAGGGCACAATACTGAGACTTGGAAGTGGAAAGGCAGGAGCACTGATGAGCCTAAACTTCCATGGCAATAGCAAAAACCAAAACTCTAGAGGAGTTCATGACAAATGGCATGTAGCAGCAATAAAGGCTTTGTTGTTGTGCAAGTGTTTTGGTGCACCTCCATGCAATGAATTCCTCAAGAACACAAGTATACACTGCGACTTTTCAGTCAGCGAAGTAGTACCCTTAATGATTGAGTACTAGAAAGCATTGGCTGTAAGCTGGGAAGGGTCGCAATAGATGAGAAGGAATGGAATCTGGTATAACTGAGAATACCAGCAAACTGTGAACAAAGTGGCAGCAATTGACTAGTAAATGCTGTGGGCAATGTTGACAGAATTAGAGAAAATGCTGTCAAAGAGAAATACTGTTGGCAAGATACCAAATACCATGACAGCAAGAGACAAAGACTGTAGTCAAGAAACTGGTGATAAAATGAAGAGAGACTGGCTGGCAGAAATATGAAGAGGAAGCTAGTGGCGGCAAAATGATGACTGATACTGGGTGAGGCTGAGACTAAAACTGGGCTGAGGTTAACTGCAGTAAAATGAAACTGATCCTGATCCTGAGTCTACACAGAGACTATCCTATACTGAAACTGTTGACCAAAATTCCGTGACAGACACTGCTGATGGCAATAATGATTTTAATCTGTGTCCACATGGGGACATAACTGTACTGAGCTGAACTGGGGTGAAACGATGGCGACGTAGAAAGTAAAGGCTGGTAAAACAATGCTGGCTGGCAAAAGTGAAACAATGCTAGTGGAATAAAAGATAAAAGCGAGTTGTGGACATGAAATTCCATGTATTGGTGCAATATGAGTGTACACCAATACCATTAGAAGAAAAGCCATGACAGAGAGTATAACTCGAAGTGACTATGCTGTTATTGTCTGTCTCCTAGTGAGTACAAGAGATAGTAGTTATAGCAACCTAGTTACTTTTTTTCCAAAACTACTACTACACTAGCTTTTATACTACAAGTCTGAAATAAAATTAGAATACTTGAAATAAGTCCTTAGTAAGTCTTTAGTACATCAATTAGTAAGAAATGATACAAAACACATGCTCTCAGAGTTCTAAAGTAACAGCACCCACATGGTTTTACTGTGTATAGACTTAGTGATTAAAAAGAATTCCACCGACATATGGATTCTTGTGCTGTTGTGGCAAAGTACATTGAAGATAGTACACTGAAGTAGATACATGTGGCATTGTCTTGGCATTGTAACAGTCTTAGTAAAGCTGGTGGAAAGGTCATGATATTAAGTCTTTTACCATGGAATCGGTATTTTTGGCTGCAGCATTCTACTAGTGATGCTTGATGCTGACATCAGTGATGGCTGTACTAGGCAATCAATGATAGTCCTAATTCTGTGAGATCTGCAATCAGGTGTCTGGCAGCAATAATGAAGTGGTGCATATTGATGTGGAATATGAGTTGGGAAGGATATTTGATGGTAAAAGTGAGTATTGCCATGATTGTAATTGTTAACTTAGGGAAAGTCTGCTAAGTGGACAAGGCATTTATTATAATGCTAAATCCACGAATTCTAAGTGTACAGTGCCTTGAGGCTCATCAGTGCCTGAGGCCAGGCCAGGCTGTAAGATTAGGTCAAACACACATAGATAATATCCACCAGCCAGATGGGTGCCCATTTGAGCAGGAAATTTTTCTTTTTTGCCTTTTTTTGCTTTTCTTGCACCATATTTGCTGGGATAGTATGGAATCTGCAAATCACACAAAAATTCAGTAAATAGCAGCCATTTTCACTCAGCATCAGACATATCATAAATTTCTGATGTGTGCCTTATTGCTAATTTTCTGCCCTGGCTCATTTTCTCTCCAGAACCACTGGTCAATAGCAATGCTCTGCTCACCACATGTTCCCTTGCTCCTACCTTGCAGAGCAGTGAGTCTCTCTCATGCCGCATTCAACATGCCTTAGCATTGCAGGTGGGAATCATGCAAATTCATTCAAAATTTCTGCCTTGGCTCATTTTTTCTCCAGTACCAAAATACCACAGCACACAATAAACTGAACATCAATATTACTACACCATCTCAATGTGCTCATCAGATGGTAGGTAAATTTTGGAGAGAACCTGAAGGATGATATAGGCTTGGTGTGCAGGTGTAGGGAGCAGTGCCAAAGAGAACCCAATGCAAACCCAAAGTAAGTCTGTTGATCAACTCTGCTTCCTCTCACCTTTGTTATGCAGTGCATCATCTCCACTGCCTCATATGAACATTACTGAGACATTCTCATGATCTCCAACATGTGTGAATGGACAGCCTCCTGCACCTATGATAAAGACAACGATGCACTTCTCTCTCCGTGAAGCAAAAGGACTGGTTTGCCCCAAGACGAGACATTGCCATCTGGCTGGCATGACATGTTTGTTGCCCTTGACAATGATGGGGAAAGCTTTCAAAAACACCTAAACCTTCCACATGCCAAATCTTTAAGTTCATTTTATCTCGAGGAGCATAGCAGTAGTTTACAAGCATCATAGTTCCAATACATGTACTAAGCATAATTCTGAGAATACAAAGTGATTTCTTGCAATAATTCAGTGACAGACAGTGACAATAGGATCTAGAGATCAAACAGTATACACCACCATTCTAAGCAATATGCTGAAGATGGCTTGCTGCCTTGCTCATTGCAGCATCCTGACCTTGTCTCCACCTCCTGCTCAGCCTCTCCTGCCCTCCTACATCTTCCCTGCATGCCCTTCTCTCCCCAGCAGTCCTGCCCAAGATTCTAACAAGGCCATGCAGCATATTTTAACCAACCCCGCATCTTTCATCATCGTCAACATCATCATGCTCATTACATTGTCCCCATGGATGCATTCCATGGTTCCTCCCACTGTTAGATGGCTATTGATAGCAGATCTGCAGGGATATTCAAAGTCTCTGGTATACAAGAGGGCTGTGCACAACAGCAATTGGATTTGATGTTGAAAGCTGGGGAATGGGGAATGGGTTGGTTAAATGGAAAAGTTGTTGGATAGTCAGACCAAAATTCCAAATGAGCAAATGAGTGGACTCCAGGTCATCATCTATGTCTTTGGGCACAAAAAAGAGTACCTAGAAATGTTTAAGGAGGCAAAGGAAGTATATAGTTGAAGCTGGATAGCTTACCATGGTGTGACAGCATTGTAATAGCCATATTGAACAAAAATCCTATTAAAATCACTAGATGAGATCAAACAGGATACACCAATAAGACCCATACTAAATGTAATTGACATCTTTTCAACTTTGAATGCATGGCAGCAAGGTTTGGTATTTGTCAAATTATGGCTTGATGTGAAGCTATATGTTATGTACAATATAAATGAAGTGTTTTTATCAGTATAGAGAGTCATGGAGGTAAGGAAAAGATTTATTATCAGTTGAGACTAGTCGTATTCAGCATATGCCAAACAGTGATCAAGCCATGTTCATCACTGCTTTTGTTGTCTTCAACCACCACTAAGGTGCACTCAAGTTTGAAATTGTGAGTTTTTTCTAATTTCTATCTTATTTTATTGATGTTCACCATTTATTATGTGATTCTATAGGCTATTATGATGTGAAACATTTCCATTATCAACGACTGTGAACACAGTGGAGGATTCAAATCAGTATGCATCTGCAAGCAAAGGTTCTTTCATTGGCTTCAAAAAGGTATGTAATCATTTTTTCTATGCTCACTACATATTCCTTTTAGATCTTTTTATGCAACTGGTGGCCCTAAGAGCCCCAGATAGCATGCATTTCACCCTCCCCACCCCTGCGCATAGACTCTCATATGAAACAAAGTCATGTGCATCCCTAGTTGACTGACAACATCATCCACCTTTGACCATGATGACATTGATGCCCAATGACACCTGCCAATGCTGCCAACATGCTGGCCCCAAGAGCCTAAGATAGTGTTCATTATCCCTCCCTCACTCATCATGTAAACCCTTGAATGAGGTTGTACATCTTTCAGGTAATATTCTCCTTCTGTACAAGATCCCACAAGCGCTCGTACTGCCCACAACTACCACTATGTTTCTGCAGCCTGCCAGCCTGCCAGCCTACTCACTGGCCTGCCAACTCTGGCCTCAACCCCCCTATATAGGGATCGATGCTAATCACTGTGAACTACAGCCATTCAGGGATACAACAACACTGAATACACTGCAGGATCAATAATTGGACCCCATCTAGAGACGTAGGGCTGTAGGGCCATACACATGTCTAGGAAGCCAACCAGAACAATAATGATAACAGCAGTAATGGCAATGTCCATAGTGGTGAGGGAGTTTTGTTGTGGGAGGGATGGGTTGTGTGAGGGTGGTATTGGGCTATGGAGGTCAGACGAAAGGCTAGTATGATGAGGAAGGGCAGGAGGGGGAGCAGGAAGGCAGGATGGACATCAGGACTTTGATGGCCAACGATGATGATGACTGATTCACAATTTCAGGTGCCAGTGGACAATTTGAGGGCCTATCTAATGCACACCAGATTATGGCTGTATGATCACCACAACCCCTGCCACTGTCAAACCCACCCCTGTCAACATTGGGCTACCCCACATGACACAGCTCTCCTGCATACACCCAACTCATGCATCCCCCATTCTTTGAGTGGGGGATCATGAATCTGTGGTTTATTTCTTTTCCTGATGCTATCATTGCCACCTGTCTGCTCACCATCCTGACTCCCACCTTTTGGGTCCTGTACCCACCCCCACAGTGGTGCTACCATCACCATGACCTCACCACTCCTATTTATTATGATGGGGAATGCAATGGTGAGGCTTGTTTAATTCTCTAGCCCTGTCCTCAACAACACAGGGCAGTCAAACCCTGCCATGCAGGCTCTTCTCCATCACACCACTCAAATTCAGCTCTCTACTACATCACAATCTCAACAATTGATGACAATAGTACCAGGACCCCCAACAACACAATGCTTATGCTCACCTTCTCTCTCAACACCCTGCCATGCACTGCACAATGGTGGGCTTTTTTTTTTGTCTGTAATTTTATGCCTTAGAGTATAGTATATATTGCTTTGTATTAATAAATATTATACTTAGTTGGTGCAGTTGGTAAAGCTTCTGGTTTAGTTTGAAGTGTTATTTGGGTCATTGGTTCAATCTTGTCTTGGTGTATTTTTTTATTCTTGCATTCAAGTATTAAATATTAAACCTCATCCAAACCTGACATGGCACATCCATCTAACGTTATGGGCACTGCCTCAGGATTGGGATGGTGTATCCTATAGGCATATTTTTCAAGCCTATATTGCATTTTTGCCCATTTGTATGCTGGGCACAAGAGTGGGAATTTGTGTTTCTATGTTTCTGGTCATAAAAGCATCATGCTGCCAAATTTAGATGTGGCTGTGGCTGACCAAGCTTGCCCATTCCAAAAATTATTTTGATCTTGACGAGCTTTTGAGAGATTTTGAGAGAATATCAGGCCTTAAGGTATAATCACCTGTATAGGATACTCTTTTAGCAACAATTGCTACTGTAATTATTAACATTGGACAGCTGTTCATACCAATTTTGGGCTGTGGATAATATCCACCAGGCAGACCAAATACTTGGTGGATATATCTAGGGTGTTTGACCAAACCCTACAGCATAGGGTGCTGAGGTGATATGAAGAGCCTCAAATTATGGAAGAATTCTGAAGGTGGTGGTTGCCAAGTGTGGAAGACACACACCACATCCAAGCTTTGCTCTACTATGAACAATATGAACATCAGCTGAGTGAGAGACTTAATGTTCAGGAGAACCAATATATTCTGTTTAGAGGCAAGAGTAGTATCTTTACCTGGCTCAACAAATTCTCTCCCACCAACCCCTGACAAATGGCAACATCAGTATCTAGTAACCTGAGTACTAGCACCATAACTAGGGTCAACAAGAATATGGCGATGCCTCCTATGGATGCCCCTGGCGAAACTGCTGATACAAGCACTGAAACCACGTTTAATGACATGGTGGATGATGTACTCATGGGCAATGAGGGAGACAGCGATGTCAACATGTCCAATCTTATCAATAGCCTCAGAAAAACCCACATCACACTAAGGGCTAGGAGTGAATAGAAGGACTTATAGTGCAAGACTGATAACTCAGTCTGATTGGAGAGGGTGTAAGGAACAACATGCTCAAACTATTTAGTATCATATTTCAAGTATATCATTTAGTCATGTTTGGCATCAGCTTCACTGATGCCCATTATATACCATGCATAGCATTGATAATCAATAGTCTTTATCTTGGACATACTATATAGTTGATCAATATAACTTGATCTAAGCTACATTGCATACTTCAAGATTAAATACTACCTTACACTCAGAGTTCAAAAGTAACAGCACCCACATGGTTTTACTGCATATAGACTTAGTGATTTAAAAGAATTCCACTGATATACTGACTTTTAGGCTGCTGTGTTGCTGTAGCAAAGTACATTGAAGCTAGTATACTAAAATAGATGCTTGTAGCATTATCTTGGAAGTGTAACAGTCTTAGTAAAGCCAGTGAAAAGGTTACAGTATTAGGTCTTTTGCTGTGAAATTGGTATTTTAGCTGTGGCATTTTTCCAAGTAATATATTATGCTGATGTCATTGATGGCTGTGCTGGAAGATCAAAGATGGTCCCAAATCCATGAGATCTGCAATCAGGTACCTGGTGGCTTTAATGAAATGGCACATATTGATGTAGAATACAAGTTAGGATGAATTGTTGGTGGTAAAAGTGGGTATTGCTGTGATTGCAATCATTGACTTAGTGAAAGTCTACTAAGTGGACAAGACATTTATTATGGTGCAAAATCCATAAATTCTGAGTGTACAGAGTCTAGAGGCTCATCAATGTGTCAGTTGCATGGATACTAATTAATATTCTGAATCAGCACTCTGAATTAAAGTTTAGTAATCTACTGTGTTCTCCTCTTAGCAAGGTCTAGGCTTGCCACATCATGTGAAATATTTCTTCTTATTGGATTCTTGGATTTAATTCCTGTATTGCACACATTGCTAGTAAGCTGATATGTTTAATTAGCTGCTGTGCAACCTTTTCTTAGTTCAATATTTCATCTGGGTTGAGGATTTATTTCTCTTCAGCCAAAAGCCACTGAAGAGGTTCGGACTTTGTGATCCTTGGTTCCAAATGATGTATGTCAGTGATTGCCAGATTGGCAGGGTTCATGCATCATAGATCAATGTAGTGCAAAGCACTATTAATATATTATCTTCTTCAAAATATTTAATTGAGCAACTCACTGCTGAGGAGTGCACAGAGTGCAAGTTAAAGCATTGAAACTTTATACTTAAATGACACTAGTGTGCCACTCTAAGTCTAAGTTATGCACTCTACTCATATTATATTTATTTATAGTGCCTCTGCCTCAGTGTGTGTCACTCTATGCTTAGCATGCCTTATTATATTGCTCAGTGGATATACACATGCTTGTATTATTAGAATTTGCAAAATTACACATGTGAACATGTTGTGTGTTAGCGACCGATTACACAAACAAGATCAAACAACTAAGCGTGACTCGCACTTCGGTCAGGCGCTTTATGTTGTTCACAGGTTTGCGTGCAGGGAGCTATCGCTTAGCGATTCGAGAGTGAGTTCAGACTAAGTTATTGGGTGAATAAACTTTAGTTCAAGACTGAGGTTTAAGACCTGCAGTTGGGCTACTTAAATACAGTTTGAGTCGTTCTAAGTATAGTACAAGAGTCTGCAACGGTGCGTTAAACACGCGGTACTAGCATGGTAGGGTGCGATCAAAGTCGGAAGGTTAGCATAGCAGGATTACGATGAAGCTGATAAGATAAGATAATGCGTAAAATCGTAATATTACCCCCCTGTTAAGGCAGTCATCCCGACTGCAACGTAGTTTGGTTTTGGTAGATATGCGCCGACTAGGGATTCTGGGTTTGGCCTGATGAG